GTAAGTGTCCCTCAATTGTTGAGTGGATAATGAAAATGTGGTTCATTTATACAATGGAGTTTTACTTAGCAGTAAAGAAAGATGAAACCATGAAATTTGCAGGTAAATGGGTGGAACTAGAAACTGTTATACTAAGTGAAGTAACACAGACTCAGAAAAAAAAATTGACACATGTTCTCCCTCATATGTGGATCCTAGAACCAATCCCTGATGAGTATGTATCCAGATATAACTACAGGAACCAAGATAATGGAAAGGAACCCAGGAGGTAAAGGAAAAGAAAGAACCCATAAGGAAAGAACAGTCAGGCCTTAATAGGGAGATATGGCTAAAAATTGGGTTAGTTAAAGGGAACAGGGAGGGAAGGGTATACAAGGAACCTAGGGGATAAAGGGAAAGAAGAAGCTCAAGAGAGGTAGGACTGTAGGAGAATGTATTATTAAGGGAGAAAGGGGGGAGGTAATGGTGGCACCTGAAGTGGGAAAACCATGATGGAGGGGTGAGACAATGCAAAAGATAGTGCCTACTTTTAAAATCCAGAGGGAACCATATTACTCCAACAACCTACTGAGAAATTATATAGAGCAGATTAAGAAATACATGTCTGGGTAAGGTTTATCTGAGAACAATTGGTCTTTACCCAAGATTTATCTACATGACACACAGTAATTAAGAGTACCAGACTGGTGGACCTAAGCTTCTTGAATGTTTAACAGACATAGTTTGAGGCCTATAATAATTTGGTCAGAGGGATATAAAGGACAGTTTTTGCTCTTTGTCCCCTTAGGTTGACTAGTTCCTGGAAACTATGAGCATCTCTCAAAATGTCCTGTAATTGTGGTGGGTCACTTGTCCTCTTGATCATGGAGGTCAAGGAGACCCCACCAGATGGACTTGAGCCAGTGTCCAGTCTACAAAGAGGAGGGTCAACACAGAGGAACCATTTCCTCCATGCTTCCAAGTGAAGCCAACCATGGTTGAGCAGGACCTTTGACTTATCTTCACATAGGTGGAACTGGTAAAAGAAAGGAGCCAGGGGCTCCTCCCAAGCCCATGTGATCCCTGAGGAACAGATCCTCAAATGATCTTAAGACTAAAAATAAGTTTTTTTTATCTGGGCCAACTATATGGCCTTAAACACCCAAAAGGAAAGTATAAGCAAAGATTAAAGGGGCCAATATAATTTTTTTAAGAGTCCATATGCATAGCTAAAGGCTACATAACAAGCAGCAATGCCAGATAGGACATACCTTCTTTTGAGCTGTTGGTCAGGGTGGCCAAAGGGACTCCCAGATAGTAACCCAGCATAGAACTGGGAAAATGAACAACAGACCCCAATCTTATCTAAAGGAATATTGACAACTGATTGCTCCTAGATGAGGAACAGCTGACCTTCCTAAAACAAAGACCTCTAGGTAGGCTGACTAGATTCACCAGATGGACAAGTGGGGAATGGCTGGGGGTGCCAACAACACAGCAGACAGTAGCAAGGATAGCAGAGTATAAGGGCTCTAATGGGGGGGAGGGAGGCTATGGGAGGGTGCCATCTGTGAAGCGGGTGTGTAGTCGAATAAGATGGTTTGGGATGTTCTGGGTGATACACACCACACACACACACACACACACACACACACACACACACAAAGTCATCAAAACTTTTAAAATGTATTATGTTTGAGGAGGAAGCATGGAAATTTGCATCGTGTTAATTAGCAGAGGTGATAAACATTACCATCGAAACCTACCCAATGACTTTATAGACATACACAGGTACCAAGGATCCAAGTGCAACTGATTATGACTTGTGATAATCAGATGCATACAGATTAGAGTTGCATGTGGCAACATCTCAGTGTTAGTAGCAAAAACAATGAGTCTTTCTGCATGGAACAATATATTCTAAAATGAAATGGAGATCTGTTTTAAAAGGTGAAAACTCAATTTTATTTTTTACAGGGCTTATACTGAGTTCAATATTGTATAAGTATTAATTGAACCTTGAACCTAGAAGCTTAGAGCCACTTGTGAAAGAGATGTACTCTTGCTCTGGTGTGTGTTAATATGGTAAAGCTGTAATGAAATGCTTCTAATCATGTAGTTATTAAAAAATTTTAAAATATATATACATTGAAAAAAATCACATGAAATCCATTGTGTGTGAATTTGTTTTTTTACAAACTAAAATAAAGCCATCTAAGAAATTGTGTAAGTTTTCTAAATTTGCTTGAGAATTGGCTCTTGTAATTCTCAAATAATTCTTACTGTAAACAAACCAAAAAGGGTAATTGCCAAGTTAAAAATTCTTTTTTAAGCTGGGCATGTGCTGAGCTCAAGAGTTAAGGCCAGGCTCAGCGATATAGACTCTGTTTCAAATAAAACAAAGATGAAGACATCTTTCTTTAAACAGAAAATATGATTCTTTATTTTCATTTTTATTTTTTGGTCAGAGTCTCATTTGACCTCCAACCTCTGATACTCCTATTTTACCCCAAGCACTATGGTTACAGTCATGTACGACCAGTACTGACTAGCTTCTAAAATAATTAATGTGATAGAAGACTTTCTTCCAAAACATGCACATCACATTCTCTGCATCCTAGATCCTGCATTCATTGCTCTTTTCTGTGTATCTTAACTGCCTTGATTTTGGGGCAAAGAGTTGAGTATATGCATTTTTGAAGTGTTCAGTTGATACTGCCTAAAGCCACTGTTACAGAATGGAGCTATTAGTGTGGCTAAGAGTATCTAAAATTTGTTACATTTCTGTTTTTCCTAAATTCTGTCTTAAATTTCATTGCTTGTTGGACTGTTTTATTCCTTTTTCTAGTACCTTGCACCCGAAGTGATCAGAAAACAGCCCTATGACAACACTGTTGACTGGTGGTGCCTAGGTGCCGTTCTGTATGAAATGCTGTATGGACTGGTATGTATTCTTTTCTTTTTTTCCACTGTACTAGTGATAGCTTAATAATTAGTAACCTCAAAGATACTTTGATAACACCAATAAAGCAATAACAGCCTTGTTAAGTAAGTCCAAAACCATGTTAGGAATATATACTTGAAGGAAAAACTGTTAGATTTTAACAATAATAAAGCACTTCTTTATTAATGTTCTAGTTTGATTATTTTTGTTGTTGTTTCCCAAAAACAACTTCAGGGAGGAAAGAGTTTATTTGGTTTACTCTTCTGTATCACAGTCTATCAGCATCACTCAACAATCAAGAAAATGCCTGGCAGATATGCCTGCATGGTAGTCTGATCGAGGCAATGCCTCAGTTGAGGCTCCCTCTTCACAGGTATCTTAGTTGTGTCAAGTTGACGAAAACGAAGGAGCACAGTTGCTTTAAGCAGCTCATTCACCTGTCATATTTAGAAATAGATGCCTGTTTACAACATTAAACTTATTTTCATTTTGTTTGTACCAAATATCAACCTGCTCAATTTTAAAAAGATGGAAATAAGAAATAAAAGTTTAGCAATCATCAATATATTCTCCAGTTGTCCCTGTATTTCAAAAGATAATGCCCTTTGAGTTTTCTTGAGTTTTGCCTTTCATTCTTACTTTATTTTATTTTATTTTATTTTATTTTATTTTATTTTTTGGTGTTTTTAAAGCAGGGTCTCCCTGTAGCCCCAGCTGGCCTGGAACTCACTATGTAGACCGTGTTGTTCTATTTTTTATAGAGTTTAATTAATATATGAATTCCCAGCTTTTATGCCACTCTATTGCCCTTCCTGAAAATATCGTGGCTTGAAGATTTCATTGGAAAAAAAGAAATGATGTTTAGTATGTAAATTAATTTTCAATATTCAGTAAGTAAAGACACCTAAGGCCAGTCAGAATTACCAATTAAAATGAAAGTTTTGCTACTTCATGTATGTATTCCTAACATGGTTGTGGACTCATTGAATTATCCGAAGCAAACTATTTAGGCTTTTTGCTTTACATATCTTCATAACAAATTTCGTTTTTCTTTTACATGTATGTTTGTGTACATTTGTGTTTTAAGTGTGGGTGGTGTCAAAAGTCAGCATTAGATGTCTTCTTTAATCACTCTCCATACTATTTTTTGAACCTGAAGCTCACTGATTTGGCTATACTGGCTGACTAGCAAGCCCCAGGGATCCTCATGATGGCCCTCCAGCTCTGGGATGACAGATGTGCCTGGCTGGTCAGGACTGAGCATCTGAACTCCGGTTCTCATGCTTGCACAGCACTTTACTGACTAAGCTATCTGTCTTCAGCTGCCCCTAAATTGTGTATTTCTTTGGCATTTTGGGAATATTTGGGACAGTTTTCTAGACTTATTTTTGGTTCTCTGAGTGTACAGCAGCCTCATACAGTAATCCCCAAGGCTATTTCCAGTGCTGATACTGAAGGGGGTACCATCATCTGAGACTTGGGTGTGTGTGTCTGTCTGTCCTGTAAACTGTGGACTTTCTCTAAATTTAGCAGTATTCTAGTTAGCTTTTTGTTGCTGTGATGAAACATTGACCAAAATCAGCTTGGGGAGGAAAGAGTATATTTCAGCTTGCAGTACAGTTCTTCATTGAAGGAAGCCAGGGCAGAAGTTAGAGTAGGAACCGGGAGGCAGGAACTGAAGCAGACCACAGAGGAATGCTGCTTCCTGGCTTGCTTCTCTGCCCCGTGCTCAGCCTTGTATGTTACATAACCAGGACCACCTGCCCAAGGGTGGCAGCACCCTCAATGGGCTACTACATCACTCAGCAATCAAGAAAAGGTCTCATAGACAGCCCACAGGCCAATTTGATAGAGGAAGTTTCCCAATCAAGGTTCCCTCTTCCCAGGTGCGTCACTTTGACAACTGAACCATCCAGCACACAGAGTGAAATGCAGTTTAGAGTTCTAGAAATTATTGACAGCCAACACTCGATTTCCTTTGCCTTCAACTATGGTTGGCTTGTTAAAAGCTACTTTTTGAGTGATGCCTAGTGGCTTTGAATGTCAAATAACCATTTTGTACTTTTAACTTTATTTAAGCACTGTTCATCATCTTGATATTTCAGGATCTTTGGTATTTCTTTCAAAGACCTTGAAAGTATAAAATAAGATCATATTTTCAAAGGTAAAGGTATTTTTCTTTCCTATAAAAAAGAAAAGTGTCAAGGCTATAAAATTCCCTTAACTTTAAACACTATTTTTCTTACAAAACTTAGCCATTATACTGCATACTTGTAAGAGCATAGTTTACAGAAAGCAGTGACCAGCCATAGCAAAGGCATGTTGGGTTATGACATGTACCATGAAAGCACTGTGAATGGGATTCACTAAATTTAAGATGCAACTGTCACAGCCTAACCACCCACGGTTCAGCATCTTTAATTCTGCAAAGCGCACTCAAAGTGTGCAGTATAATGGTGGTACTCAAATGTCTGCATGCCCTAAGAGGGAATGCTTTTCTGCAACCATCCATACCCAACTGCTCTATGAAGATAGTGGCCAAGTTCAGCCGTTTTAAAACCATTTTCACACAATTCACTTACTTCTGTTACTTTCTTTTGCTTCTCTTTTTTCAGCCCCCTTTTTACTGCCGAGATGTTGCTGAAATGTACGATAATATTCTTCATAAACCCCTACACTTGAGGCCAGGTGTGAGCCTCACAGCCTGGTCCATTTTAGAAGAACTCCTGGAAAAAGACAGGCAAAACCGACTTGGTGCCAAAGAAGACTTTGTATGTAACATGTTTCAGAGTACCAGATCTATTTAAACTTACTTAAAATTTGGAGATAAGTCATATGGTATTCAGTGGAGTAGTTGTTAAAAAGAATTGAAAAAAAAGGGTCGTTTTACTATCCACAATTTTCTATTAGTGTTCATATAAAACTGTGCAGTTTAAAGCACTCTTAAGTTTTGTTTTCATTTATCATCATAATAGTTGATCTTTTCTTTATACCTTACATCCAGCTTTTACACTCTACCTATTTGATTTTCATTTATGACTGTTTCATCTCCCTTCTCTTCTCTCTGTAGTGTTACGTAGTATACTTTTGACTACATAATCTTTTAAGTACTTTAAAGTTTTATGTGTATGAATGTATCGCCTGCATGTAGGTAAGTGCACCTGTGTTGTGCAAACTCTGCAGGGGTCAGAAAACAGGGTCAGATTCCCCCGGAACTTGGGTTAAGATGGTTATTAGGAGCCATGTGGGTGCTGGGAATTGAACCTGGATCCTCTGCAAGAGCAGCCAGTGCACTTAACTGCTGAGCCATCTTTCAAGCCCCCAAAATTTGAATTTTTATGTGCTTCTTTTCTGCATAAGGTAATGCTTTTTGCTTTAACACGAAGTCACTTTTTTGAGAATTTGGTGACACCTCCTTGAAACAGTTATCTAATCTGTCCTTTGTTTTCAGATCAGGGAACTCAATTTATTGATGTTGTTACTGGTATGATGTAACATGCTAGCAAATTCATGAATTAGTGGAAAGTATGAGCTTTTAAATTGCTTCCCGGGAACAACTTGGAGGTTGTTTCAGTCTTGAACTTCAGCTGTGTAGATAATTGACTCTGCTACTGCTTTTTTATTCCTCCCACTTAGCCTTTCAGTGGGTAGCTCTGCCAACAAGCTCCTATTCATTATTTTCCTCAGTCTTGCTCCTCACACCTCCTCAGTCCCTTTATTGAATTTGCTGTCAGACTTCAAACCCTGAATAAAGGTCCCACTGTCATATCCTGGACTGATGAATAGTACTGAAGAAAGTAACAGGACTAAGGCACTGAAGCTGGTAGCGTGGTAGTCAGGAGCCTTGGGCTTCAGTGCTGTGCAGTGCTCCTGTCTCCATTCAGCTCGTCTCCAGCACTGTGCAATGCTCCCATCTCCATTCAGCTGGTTTCCAGCACTGTGCAATGTTCCCGTCTCCATTCAGCTGGTGCTCCCTGCTGTCTGTTAACTATCCCAAACCTTCTCTCTGAGCTTCTAGATTCCTTTTGGCTTTCACCTTTTATTGTGCTTTTATGGATTTTATTACATCACTGGTGCTCAGCTTTTCCATCTCTGGAGACCACCCTTCCTGAAAACAACATGTATTAAAGATTTTATGGAAAAAAGTGCTGATTACTATGCAGTTGATCTCCCCAGTTTTTACTAAAAACATACAAAAGCAGCAGGTAAACCCTCCTGTTAACCAAGGAATGTTGTATTGATTACTGTATTAACTAAATAGAGCTGCAGCAGAAACAACCTGAGGATTTTAGTTGTTTCCTTATCTTTATTAGAATAATGTGGGCTAAGGGCATAGCTGAGTGAAAGATTGTGGTTGGCATGCATAAGGCCCTGGGCTGATCCTCAACACCACAAAAAGAAAACAACATCAAATAATAAAAATAAATAGATGAATAAATAAATAAATAAATAAAAATGTTTTTCAAGATTTTTGAAATATAATTATACCCCCGGTCTCTTACGGCAGATCATCTTACATTGTATTTTATTGGGAAAATACAGCTCTCTGAGACAAACTAACTCAGCTAACTGCTACCAATTTCGAGACCTTAACATGAACTTGCACCTGTTCCATTCTTTGCTGTGGTGGGAAAAGTCAATCTCTACCTATGTACTGAACCTAGTCCCCTGCCAGCCACCCCAAATATACTCTCTTTTTTTTTTTGCACAAATTCCTCCTTCCACTCAGTAATTAAAGTTTCCTGCTTTTTAAACAAGAAAATCTTCAGTCCTTCAAGCCGTTACTCTTTCCTTTTGTTGCCAAGGTTGTTTAAAGGTTTCTGTATTCACTCTGTGCCAGAGTACTTGTATTCCTCAGTTTTCTTTTACAGCCAATTTAATACCGAGGCATCTATTAGAATGAACACTTTGTACTTCTCTTTCTGTATTTCTCAGCCCTCCTCCATACTCTACGGAATAAACTCTTCAAGCTTTTCTTCACCTTTATTGGATGTGATAGTACATTGTAGTTGTCCTAAACATGTTTTCTTATACTGTGGTCTCCTGGACCATCACTGTTGGCACCGTGACTTCAGTTACCTGCATGTCTTCATGTTACACATTCATAGCCTCTCTTCAGAGCCCTCTTCTAAAGTCTCTAGACTCATAATAGTGCCTTCTTCATAGTGCTACTTGGGTTTCTTGAGAGTACCTTGGTCACAGCATGCTCAAAATTGAAATCCTGGGCTGGAGAGATCACTCAGTTGGTAAAGTGCTTGCTATGCAAGCATCGGGACCTGGATTTGGATCCCCAGCTCCTGTATCAAAAGCTAGGGACAGCTGTGTGTGCTCATTCCAGCACTGGAGTGTGGAAACAAGTGGATCTTGGGAACTTGTGGTCTGGTTCAGTCACTGCCCCAGGTTCAGTGAGAAACCCTGTCTCTAAACATAAGGTGGAAAGTGGTAGAAGACACCCAACATTGACCTCTGGCCTGCATGACACACATACACATGTGCACCATACACAAAAATATTGTCAACTATTTTCACATTAAATCTCGTATTTTAAAAAACTGAAATCGCCAGGCGTGGTGGCACACACCTTTAATCCTAGCACTCAGGAGGTAGAAGCAGGCAAATCTCTGTGAATTCAAGGATAGCCTGGTCTACATAGTGAGCTCCAGAACAGCTGGAGCTACAGGGAAACCCTGTCTCAAAAAGGAAAAACAAAGGGGGCTGGAGAGATGGCTCAGCGATTAAGAACAATGGTTGTTCTTGCAGAAGACCCAGGTTCGAATCCCAGCACCCACATGGGAGCTAACAACTGTCCATAACTCCAGTCCCAGGGGATCTGACAGCCTCTCTGACCTCCATGGGCTTTGCACGACATGGATGCACTTACCTACATGCAGGCAATACATGCATACACATAAAAAATAAAATAATAAAATAAAAAACCTGAGACACACTGATATTTTCCTGTGCTCTCTTTCATATTAAAGTTTTTCACTGTCTGGTTATTCTAATCAGAACTCTGAGAGGCAAACCTAACTTTTCTCCCTGCCTTCCATATTTAACCAATAACCAGGTCCTGTTAGGCATACTTCCCGAATCTTCCCCGTATCCACATACTCTATCTGATTTGACTCTTCGACTCATTTCTTCTTTATAGCTAGGGAGGCCTTTTATGTATACACACACACACACACACACACACACACAGAGTTGTGATAGTCCTATACTCAAAAACTACTTGGTGGATTCCTATAACCTTAAAATAAGACCAAAAGTTCTTTCTTTTTTTTTTTTTTTTTTTTTTTTTTTTTTTTTTTTGGCTTTTTTGAGACAGTGTCTCCCTGTAGCTCCATCTGTCCTGGAACTCACTATGTAGACCAGGCTGGCCTTGAACTCAGAGTTCTGCCTGCCTCTGCCTCCCAAGTGCTGGGATTATAGGCGTGCGTCACTACGCCTGGCCAAAAGTTCTTTTTTTAAAACTTATTTTTATTTTATGTTTATTTTGCCTGCATGTATTACATGCATGCAACTCCCATGGAGGCCAGAAGAGGGTGTTGGGTCCCCTGGAACTGGAGTTACACATGGTTGTTAGCTGCCATGTGGGTACTAGGGAAGTGAACCCAGGTCTTCTGCAAGAGCAGCCAGTGCTCTTAACCTCCGAGCCTTCTCTCCAGCCCCCAAAATTCTTAATGTAGACTCAATATGATATAGCCAATATGATTGGCTCTTTAGCTTCACTTTGTATGAGAGTTCTACCCTTCTCTGTACTCTGCTGTGTGAGACTCTGATTTTCTTGACCAAACTAATCTCTTTGCCAACTTAGGGCCTTTGTGTTTGTCTAGAACATTCACCCTTTATTTATTATTTTTTGTTTCATTAATTCTTTCAGAACTCACTGGTTAGGCATCATTTTCTTTAGTTATTTTTTGTTTTTTTCCCCTGCTTATTTTTAAGAGAGAAAACAAGTTTATTTCATACATTCTAAGAGAACAGCAGATATGGCAATAACAAAAGCACTGCCCAGGCCTAGAAAGATGGCTTTTATGGTTAAAAGTGCTCACTCTCCTCTATTGGAGGATCAGAGTTTGGGTCCCACACCCACATTGTGTGGCTCACAAATGACTGTTAACTCCAGATCCAAGTTATCTGACGCCCCTTCCTGGCCTCCTTGGGCACCTGCACACACATAAGTAAAACAAGTCTTTAAAAAAACAAACAACTGCCTGCTTCAGGCATTGCTTTAAGAAGTCTTTTTCAACCCGGCAAGCTATCTGAATCCTACTTTATACACTTGTATGGTACCTTAAAGGTAGAAAAGATAGCTAGTAGTGCTGACTTTTGATGAGCTCCTTACCTTGATTTCTGTCTTCTGCATTACTGTATAAGACTCTGCTGACTTTTTATGTTCACTTCTCAGGTAATAATTTCTTAGACCTGTGTTGTGTGTAATTTTTTATAACTCTTATTTGTACATTTTACGCTCATTATTAAAACATCCCATGACATATTTGTCATAAATTGTTAACCAAATTTTACCTATGAAGGTACTATGCTTGGGAAGGGGAACATTATTAAGTTCAAGCAGCTCATTCTAAGAAACTATCTTTCAAAGACCTATGAACACAAGTGACATAAATATGTGCCTAAAACAATTGAGTGACAAAAATGGAAATGGCTTCATAAAATTCTTCAATGAGTATTTAATCTTTTGTCATCACCAAAAAAAATGTTTTTAATATTCTAGCTTGAAATTCAGAATCATCCTTTTTTTGAGTCACTCAGCTGGACTGACCTTGTACAAAAGAAGATTCCACCGCCATTTAATCCTAATGTGGTAAGTATATATATTTTTTAAATAGTGAAATTTAGAACTTTAGTTCATTATAATTTTTGAATTAATTCCCAAATCTAACCTGAACAAGAGAGCCAGTACATAAATAGTACCTAAACAGATAGTATTATGTTAGCTAGACTTGATAGATCCACTGATGGAAGCATTTTACCTAAAGATAATTTTTAAGCAAAAAAGCTGTTTCAAAGATGTGTTTGACAGAATTAACAGTATTGGCAAATTTTGGAAATCAATAAATAATAATAGAGAAATTGTTAATAATCATCAGGGGCCAATAATGATGTTAGTAACCACTGATAGCTTCATTCTTTAGCCTTATCTGTCCTTTCCCCATCTAATAGTAAGAACCTTAACTGTTAAAATAGACAGTCTCACCTTATAATAAAAGCCAGGAAAGTAAACAGAATAAAAATGAAGTAGGAAAAATCTAAACTTGCCAAGGAAAATAATATACCAAGTCATAAAGACATTTTAATGAACTAAAAGGAAGAAAATATAAGGTGAATGATTCTGTGCTTTCACTGTTGTAGGCTGGACCAGATGATATCAGAAACTTTGACACCGTCTTTACAGAAGAAACAGTTCCATATTCTGTGTGTGTGTCCTCTGACTATTCTATAGTGAATGCCAGTGTGCTGGAGGCAGATGATGCATTCCTTGGTTTTTCTTATGCTCCTCCTTCAGAAGACTTATTTTTGTGAAGTTTGCCATTCAAAAACCATTGGACAAATATAAGCCTATGGCTAAGACTGCACCTCTTTTTTGTGTGAATATATTCAACTATGTATAAGAGTGCCTCATTTCTACTTGTCATGTTGAAAACTATGAAAAACATATTTTCTGCTGTATGCAAGAAAAATAGGGCATTTCAAAGAGCTAAGTTTTGAATTGAAATTTGTATTCTTGTTTATTAAGCTTATTTTTAAACAAAATTTAAATCTATTATTCTTAGCATTAACCTTTTTTAAAGATAACCTTTTGCTATTGACTGTTTCTTTTTCCTTGTTACGTTTACACTAACATCTAAGACTGTTTTAATAGTCTGTTTCAGTTAGGATCTATTAATACCTTTATAATCCTATGACTTTTATCATAGCAGAACTATGCAAATGGTACATGGTCGTTAAGATGAAACCGTATTTTTCTGTGATTAAAATCACTGTTTGAAAATAGGTTCTTTCTAGAATTAAACTGTAAAAGCATAGTTAACATGTTGGCTGCTAGTTAATCCTGAATAACATTCATTTTCAGGTAATACAAGAAATAACAAAAAAATCATCTGCTTTTGAAATACCAGTTTTAATTTGCGCTTCATTTTTTCCTTGACAGTAAAAGGAAAATTGAATGGCTAGAAATTTTAAGAATTCCCAAGAATCTGAAGAATAATAAAGTACTGCCAGATTTTTTTAAGGTGGTGCCAAAAATAAATGTCTATGTCATATATTTATATCACAAATATAATCTATTTATGTTCCTTTTGACCTTTTGAAAGTTTAATATATTGTTAAGTAGATCTGAATCTTGGTGTATATTTTTGCAACTATCTCTTTCAAAACTGTCTTCCTAATTGATCAGGTTTTTTTAAATGATGGAAAAAAATAACTTTCTATAATTTCAAATCAAAAAAATAAAATAGCAAATCTAGGTCAGTATAAATGTATGTAATCTTACTGCACTGTAACAAAAATAGTTCTGCAGATAACACATTCAGGATTTTTTTTTTTTTTTTTGGTAGTGCTGGGGAAAAAACACAGCGTTTGTTAATATGCATATCCTCTACCATTGAACTATACTTTCAGCCTCTCCATGTATCTTGGAAAGAGTACTGGAAACTGACCTTAAAGATCATAACATGTCAGTTTTTCTGCATTTGTAATGGTAAAAGATACTAGCTACCAAGAAAATTAGCAAGAGAATGCTTAACTTGGGATTCTGATTCCTAGAGTGGCAATTTTTCAGGTCTTGTAGAGATAGTATTGTGAGACTATAATGGCCCAGCTTAGATGCTCTAAGGACAAACTTCTCTTGCATGTGTTCTCTTGAAATAGATATCACAAGAACATTTCTCACCAATCTCTTTTGACTTTAAAATGTTCAGTGGAGTGGGGATAATAGATGCTTTTGTTTGGTTAATAATATTTATATGCAGTACACTGAATCTTCCTTGGAGGTAAGATGTTAATATCTACACTGTAAATATTTGATTTGTTTGGCATTTCTGTAAGTTCTGCTTTTATATAAAGGTTTTTGTTGAGTATAAAGCAAGATAAAAATTATACTTGTACGATTTTTTTACTCAGAAATCCCCTTACTGAACTACCAAAAATTCAAAAAGTGTATATTTTTAAGAACAAATTCAAAATAGGTTTTTGATGTTTCATGGATTGCAGGAAATATAAATTTATATAGTATAATAAAATTAGCAGGAAGCTTAATGTCTATTATTTGAAATTAAGATTAGTAATGTAAGCCAGGCGTGGTGGCGCACTCCTGTAGTCCCAGCACTTGGGAGGCAGAGGCAGGTGGATCTCTGTGAGTTCAAGGCCAGCCTGGTCTACATAGTGAGTTCCAGGACAGCTGGGGCTACAGGGAGACCCTGTCTCAAAAAGACCAGAAAAAAAATAATAATAGTTACCACCAAAGTGAATTATTTATATATGTGAAAGAAAAAGTGTATTTGGATGAACCTGAGTGACTGAGTTACTATATACTGGCATGTATATGATTCAGGAAATAATTTTTTCCAAGTTTCAAGTTTTATGTTTTCTCTCATATTGTAAATCATTGTCAAATATGTGCCTTTTGAACAATTGAGCTATTTCATAGTAATTATAATCTCAAAGGTCTAAATGAAGACTAATAACAGTTTGGAAGTTAGCTTTGTTTTGTTTGTTTTTTTTTGTTTTTTTGTTGTTTTTTTTTTTTGAGACAGTCTCAGTATAGCCTAGCCTGGCCTCAAACCTGCAATTTTCCTGCCTTAACCTCTTGAGTCTTAAAATTACAGACGTGTTAGCTCTTATGTGAAGTGAGTTTTTCTGCCATTTGTCTTTAAAAGCAGCTTTCTTTTTGTTTTGTTTTTTTTAATTTTTTTTAACAGATCATCCTTCTAAAGTGGGTGAAGGTTTGTTGTTTGATGGAGACTTCTTTTAGGCGGGGTCTTTCTGTTGGATCCTTGTGAGGTCTAAGTGACTTTTTCTTTCTTGAGGGAAGTCTCATTTACTTCCCCAAAGTCCTTTCTGCAGAACTGTCTCCCTAGAGATTAGGTTGTACACAAGAATTTTGTGGAGACACAAGCAGAGTGATACAAAACCCTAAGTAAGTTTCAGATGGCCTGAGTAACCTTGCAGTGGGAGGCCATGTTTTGTCTATAACCGAGTTTAATGGTCAGGGTGGGCAATACCACCAGCTTTATCCAGAGAACTCATATGTATAGAACATGGTCAGCTACAATATGAATGCTATAACAAGTCAAAATGTAAGATCACTTCTTGCTAGAAGAAGCAGGCACGTTTTGTGATTTTACAACCCTGATGTTCAAATGTAACATCAAATTTTTATTAGAAATTCTGTTTTGCAGGAGTGGCTCTCATAGGGTCATTTCTCCCTCCTATATTTTGAGCAGGTAGCTCTATTATTAATAAAGATGGGGATTAGCTATTTCCACTTTAGTTTTTGGTTAAATATTTGTGGGAAAGTCTACAATGAGTTGTCAGTATTTAAATACTTTAATGTTAAAATGTTTAATGGTTAACTTGTAGAATACAGAAAGTTAATATATGCAGGACTATCAAGCCATGAGAATAGTCAATTTTAATCTCTGCTGGACTTTCTCAGTTCTTTCTAGAGAGCAAATACAGCCTTGCTTTGTTGAACTTTTCTCTGATTCAGTGGTAGCAAATAGTCATTCAACAATCACAGCTTACGAGTTGACAAGATTGCTCAGTGGTAACGGTGCTTGCCACCAAGTCTGATGAACTGAGCTTGATCCCTAGGACCCACATGGGGGCAGGAGAGAACCGACTCTCACAAGCTGTCCTGTGATGTCCACATATGTACCATAACACACACATATGTGCACACAAGATAAATAAATGTAATAATTTTTTAAATTACAGTTTATAAGCTGGGGGTGTTTCCCAGTGGTAGAGTGCTTGTCTAGTATCCCTGAGGCCCTAGATTCAATTTCCAACATTAGTAATTAGCTAAATGCAAATTAAAACCTCTTTAAGATTTCGTCTTACTCCAGTCAGACTGGCTAAGATCAAGAGATCAAATGTTATTAAATGCTGGAGAGGATGTGGTGAAAGGGGAACACTCATTCACTGATGATGGAATTGCAAACTCATGCAACCCCTATGGAAAGCAGTGTAGAGAACTCTTAAAAAACCAAAAATGAACCTACCATTTAACCCCCGGTATACCATTCCTTGGCATTATACCCAAAGGACTCATGCTATTGCAGAGATACCTGTACATTCATGTTTGTTGCTACTCTTTTCACAATAGCTGAGATGGAAGCAACCTAAGTGTCCGTCAGCTAACGAGTGGATAATGAAAATGTACATTTACACAATGAAGTTCTACTCAGCGATAAAGACGAAATCATGAAATTTGCAGATGAATGGAACTAGAAACTGTTATACTAAGTGAATTAATATAGACTCAGAATAATGATGTATGTTCTCCCTCGTTTGTGGATCCTAGCATCAAATCCTTACATGTAAGTGTATATCTTGATGTAAATAGGAATTAGTAAAATGGAAAGGAACCAGGGAGGCAAAGGGAAGGAGGGAACCTGAGAGAGAACAGTATGAAACAGGTGTTAACGAAGAGAGAAATGGGTAAAGTACGGGTATTTAAATGGGAGTGGAGAGGGTGGGTTATACAAGGAACTATGGGGATGAAGGAGAAGGAAGTCAAAGAGAAGTGGGGCCACAGGAGACTGGTATATTATCAAGGGAGAAATGGGGAAAATGGAGATACTTTAAATGGGGAAGGCATGAAGGGAGGCTTAGATAGGTAGAGAAAGAGGAGAGATAAATAATGCCTAGCTAGTGTAAAGAAACAGGAAATATTAGTCCAACAACCTACTGACGAATTACACATAACAATACCTCTACATGAATTCATGTGTATAGCTGAAGGCTACATAAGAAACAGTGCCAGATGGGAGAAATCTTCCTTTCAGTTGTTGGCCAGGGTAGTCCAAAAGACTTCCCAAATTACACAGGCTGTTGCAACAGCCCTTGATTGCTTCCCAGAACTTGAAGGTAAGACCCTATTGCTGAAGATAGGGCATACTTCAGACACAGGATTTGGAGTAATGGAGCTGGAACTTACCTGGAAGCCACCTCTCCTGAAGGCTAGCCCATAGCTTTGGAGAGCACTACACAAGCTGCTGAGGGAGAACATCAATCAATGATCCAACCCCAGCTTCAAGGCCTAATAACCACATCAGTGACTGGCACAGCAAACAACATTGGTGCAGCAGTGGCACTTTGAGGGTAATCAACAGCTACCTAATTGGACTTAAAGCCCACTCAGTGGGAGGAAACTCATGTGGTACTTTAAACATAGCCAAATACACACAGCTGGTGAGGTCATAGATTTTAGAGAAAAGCCCAAAATTGTCATGTCACTAGACAAATGTAATTTCTTAATATCTGCAAAATATGAAGGTTTATATTTACAGATAAGTATCTAGTCATCACACACTAAAGAAGTTTCTTTTGCACCAGATGGAGACTTACAGAGTTCCACAACTGGTCACATACAGACAATGTGAATTGCCCACAATAAATGGCACATCTACAATGCAACCTCTACAAATAAGGCTCATGAAATAAATAACACGGTGTAAAGAGAACACAAATGAATCTCAGTTCTCATTAATGAATCTCCCTCATGTAACAGAGGGCCAGGAACACAAATGATCGAAGTATAGCGAGGGAGAGTAGATTGTGGTCCTTGGACAGGACTCCTATTTTAAATCCCACCCACCCAGGGCTCAGGGACCATTGTGGAAGAGGGGGCAGAGAGTTTGTAAGAGCCAAGGAGGAGGTGCATGACTGTATGGAAATAGAGTTCTACCAGTTCACGGGACCTTGTTCATATGAACCTGCAGCAATGGTGTCCGCATGCACAATACCTATGCAAACTCCGATAAAATCCCAGTACAGAACTGTGGAAATGGGCAACAAGCCCCAATCTTGATCGAAGAAATTATTGATAGCTGATAACTGCTGAGTGAGAAAGAGCTGAACTTCTTTAGGAGAATGATTCTAGATAGGCTGACTAGACCCCAATGGATGAACTTGCACTGAGGGACATCAAAGGACACTAACTTGACACGATAGTCCTTGACACAAATGACAATGTATGAATTTCAGTGAGAAGGGCCTATGGGAGGACACCAATGCAATGAGGAAGGGGGTATAAAGATGATTAAGATGTTCTATATGGAAGACAAAAAATTCAATAAAAAATTTACCCAAAAAGAGATGATTCCTATAACTCTCACCTTCCTGTATAAAGATCTAAAAATAAAAACTTTCAAAATTTAAAGGGCTCAGGTATAGACAAAACAGGGCTCAGGAAGCTCCTGAAACTTCCAGATTCAAAGACTCTTTCCCCAAGGTTGTACAAGCAGTAACACAGGTGGTAGGGAAGGAGAGGCTTTCTGATCTACCTGCCTGCCTCTAGCTCTTGCAGGGAGCTCCAGAGATGCTGCTGTCCTGAGTTACCACTCTTGCTGGGGAAGGTTGTCTTTGAGTCACCCTCACCCATACTCCTGTAAGTAACCCGAGTAAGTTCTCTGGTTCACTAAGCTAGACTTGGCTGAAGTTGTTTCTTTGGTCTGTTGTCAGTATCCTATCTGAAGTGAATAGACATTTGCTCACATTGCCCCAGGAAAAGTCACACAAACTCAACCACTAAAAAGGAAACTGCCAGGCACGCATTTAATCCCAGCACTTGGGAGGCTGAGACAGGCAGATCTTTGTGAGTTCGAGGCCAGCCTGGTCTACATAATGAGTTCCAGAACAGCTGGGGCTACAAGGAGACCCTGTCTCAAAAAGACAAAAAAAAAAAAAAGGAAAAGAACTATACATTCAAAGCAATGTTTCTAGGTTTAACATTTGAAAGATGCATCAAATGCATAAAGATGCATTATATTTTACTGAACTTGGTATAAAACTCTGATTATGTGGTATAGGAATGAACTGTTGGACCGGCAAGATGTCTCAGCAAAGGCACTTGCCTCTAAGCCTGTTGACATGAGTCTGATCCCCAAGACCTGCATGATGGAAGGAGAGAAGCAGCCTGTAAATTGTTCTCACTTCCACACATGTGCTATCGCGTGTACTACCCACCCCATAAATAATTTAAAGGCATGAACTGCAATGGTGAACGGATTAATCAAAATTCAAATATATGATGAACAATGTTCTAGTCTGCTTTCGATTGCTGTGACAAAACACTGACCAATACCAGTTTGAGGAGGAAGGGATTTATTTAGCTTACATCTCCTGGGTCATAGTTCATCACTGAGGGAGTCCAAGGAAGGAACTCAAGGCAGGAACCTGGAGCCTGGAGCCTGGAGCAAAGGTCATGGAGGAACATTGCTTACTGGCTTACTCCTCTGGCCCATGCTCAGCCTGCTTTCCTAGACAATATAAAACAACCTGCCCAGGGTGGGCTGGACCCTCCCACATGACTCAAAAATCAAGACAATACCCCACAGACATGACCACAGGCCAGTCCAATGGAGGCAATTCCCCCATTGAAGCTGCCTTTACCCAGATGTGCCAAGTTGACAAACGCTATCCAGCACAAATAACTTACTGAAGAATCAGTGAGGCCTATCATCACACCATTATTACACACACACACACACACACACACACACACACACACACACACACAAAGTACTAAGGCCACTGGGTTATTGAACAAAACAGTCTTTTTGCTTCCAAAAAGTTGATTTTGCTTCCTAAGTTGATTTCTGCTCCAGCAAAGTATTTTCCTTACTTCACAAATAAAACATTATATTCCCTCAGAAAAAAACTCGGATATTTTGTCATGTCTGTTACATATGAAAAAGGATGGCCTCAATTGCTTCCCATGAAAAATGATCTTGTCTCCCACACTCTGGGTACCATCCTTCTCCAATGCAGTGAAACAGCATTTACTATATACTGTTATATGCTTGAACCCATACAATTTAGTAGCGTCATGGGAATTTTAATAAAAACTTTTATTGATACATACTATACAACCCATCCATTTCAAATGCACAATTAGCCAAAATGGACTGCACCTGTAACCCTCGTAGGCAAAATTTTGAGTTTTAGGCTAGCCCAGGCTACATACTGAGTTCAGAGCCAGTCAGAGCTACATTGTAAGTTCAAAGCCAGTCTGGGCTATATATAGAGACCCTGTCTCAAAATGCAAAACTTTACAGTTGTTTGGCTTTGGTGCGTTCAGAATTGTGTCACTAGCATTACAGTCAACTTTAAGACATCCCCATCACTTCAGAAACAGTCCCTGGGGACAGGTGTAGCTCTGCGGCAGAACATGTGCTTCGTATGCAAAAGGCCCTGGGTTCAGTCCCCAGCACCAAACAAAGAGAAACCGATGGACTGTGCTATACACTTAACAGAATATTACAAAGGAAGGAAATTATGTTCTACAGTGTAGATGAGCCTTAAGGACACAGGACAAATGCTTGTATGGTTCCATTTATGAAGAACTGGAATAGTTAATTCCAAGGAGACGGAAAGAATTATTGCCAGGTCCTTGTCGAATTACTAAATGAGTACAGTGTTTTGGGAAGATGAAAGTTCTGGATACTGACGGTGCCATGTGACATTGTGAATGAACTTAGTGCCACTGAGCTGTCTCTGAAGAATGGTTAAAATGGTAATTTTATTATGCATATTTTACCACAACAAAGAGAAAGGAAAATAAATCTGCCCTTTAGTACTCACATCTCCCTGCTAAGCCTTAGGTAATCGCTAATTTTCTTTATGTCCCCATTTGCCTTTTTTGCATGTTTTATATAAATGCAGTCAGAATGATGTGTACCTTTGTGTATTTTATTTGCATAGTGCACTCAAGATTGATCCATGTTGTGTTGGCACTGCATTCCTTTTAGGTTGGTTGGTTGTTTCGGAGTTTGTTTTTTAAACAGAGTCTCACTATGTTGCCCCAGCCAGGCTGGAACTGGCTATGTAGACGAGGCTGGCCTCCATCTCAGTAATCCACCTGCCTCTGCCTCCCGGGTGCTGGGATCAAAGGCTTGCGCCACCACGCCCGGCTCATTCCCCTTTTAATTCACCTAATACTGCATTTTCTTGCGTTGCTACCCATTTTACCTACCCTTTCGACCAGTTAGCTGGACACTTTGGCACTCACTTTGGGGCTATTATGAATAACTGCATGTGTCACGTCTAAGTTTTCTATGGACATATGTTTTCAGTTCTCCTAGAATTCGCTCTTTTGACAGTCTACTGGAATGTTTTCCAAAGTTTCAGTGCTATTTTGCATTCTCAGCAACAGCAGAAGCATTCAACTTTTTTATAACAGAGACCAACACACTTGGACTGATAACAACAAAAGCAAAGGGAGGGAGGGAGCAGGAGTGAAGAAGGGGAAACAGGTGGGATCAGCTTCCCGGGTGACAGGAGGGCTGGAGGTCCCGGCAGACCCTGCGCGGCGCCAACGGTGGGGCACGCAAGCGCACACGAGGACGCCGGGGAGGCGCCGATCCTCGCCTGGTGGGTGTCCCGACATTCCAGAGGTGGCACCTGGTGGACGGCGGCGTTCCGTGAGCGAGGGCTCCGTGGGGCCGCGCCAGCCCGGGTGTCTCCATCCGCTTGGCTCTGAGGTACTTCCCGCCGTCTTCTCACTGGGCTCTTCAGCGCTGACAGGCGGGAGGCCGCTCCACCATCGCCTCCTTTGAGCCTGCCGTGCAGCTCCCGAAGGCCCTGGAAGGCCCTGGTCTCCGGGCCTTTATGGCCTGTGAGGCACGCACAGCGGCTGCTAAGAACGCCTTATCCAAGGTGCGGGGTTGGAGCCCAGCCCTGGCGTGCTAGGAAACCGTCCTCGGCCCTCAGGGCTGCCCTGTGGGATTCATGCTGCCCTGGAATTTGCAGTGCAGCCCCGACGGGCCTTTCGGAACCACCTGCCCAGCCTGAAAGTAAACGCATGTGCTACTGCAGCCTCACCCCACTTCATCTTTTTTGTTGTGTAGGCTGGTCTCACATTCTTGAATTCATCTCCATTACAATTTGTTCCTAATGCTGTGGACTGGTCCATAACATCTCTTAGGAATACTGTACCAGCTAAAAAGTGATAATTGGCTATTCACTATTCTAACCCATTTTCTACACTGGAAAATGAAGGCACTTACTTCCAAAATAAAAATTGACCATAATTTTCAAAAACTTTTGTCCATATAATATTTATGGACTTCAGAAATTCATAATCTGCAATTAATCAGCAATTTCAGTTAATGGCTTCCCTTATTCAACCTCAGAAAGCTACTGTTCTAATGAAACAGATGTCATGTCTTGAACACAATAGATAAAAAGGGTAGGCCTGCTCAACTATTCTTTGTGAAGTAACCTAAACTGTAGGTATTATGTGTGTGAATTCAATAATGTATTGCATGCATGTGGAGGGCATACAACTTCGGGGAGTTGGTTCTTTCCTTCCACCATGTAGATCCCTATGGTCGAACTCAGTTATTAGGCTTCTTTACCCAATGAGCTTTCTTCCAGCCAGATTAAATTTATAAAACAATTTTTATTGTCTTTTCGTCCTTTAAACACCTAGATGGGACTCTCATCATCTAATATATTTATTTCAATTTGCATGGTTTGAAGTGCCTACTCTATAAGGATCCTGTTCTTAAGTTTGTGATCTTTTGGAGGATCTCATAACTGAGTTTTGATTAAAATGTTATTAGGGGATGGTTGTATAACTCAGTAGTAGAATATTTGTTTTTCATGTATGAGGCCCTCTATTCAAACCTGAGGTTTGTTTCCCATTGGGTTGAATTTTTTTTTTAAGTTGGAAAACTCTACCTAGTATTATTCTGAATTTTAAGTTTTAATAGTAAAGTTTTATTAGAGGTCTTCGAAAGTAATATTTATTTTATTTCTAGGTTTCTTCATCCTTTTTATGAGTTTCATCACCCATAATCTTTACTAGGAACTGTGGTTCAACCTGCTAATGATAAAGAAGAAACACCAATAAAGAGAAAAATGTCAAATCTAAAAATGAAAGAGGCAGCTCTTGTGTATCTGGACAGAAGTGGAGGCCTCCAAAAGTTTATAGATGATTGCAAGTACTACAGTGGTATGTGCAGCAGAGGTGATTTTGTGTTGAAAACTTTCAAACACATTTCTGCATATAACTATTCTGACTTTTACATTTATATATTTTCACAGATTCAAAACAAAGTTATGCTGTCTATAGATTCAATATTTTAATAAATCCCTCTGATGTTGTTGAATTAGATCCTGAACTTGGAAATCACATTTTACATCATCCCTTAAAAGCTGCTCAAGTATTTCAATCAGTAAGTTAAAGAAAAAATACTTTTATGTCCCATGGAATTTTTGGTAACTTGTTTGCTCATTTGTTTGAAATCACAGGTCTGTTTTGTTGCTGTTAAGACTCTCTCATTAATTGGACAATTACAGACTGAAACTCAAGTAAGTTTTAATTAAACTAGGGTGTAAATTTTCAAGATGACTTACAAATTAATATTTTAAAAATATTTTATTATTTTTATTTAAGTGTATGAGTGTATTGCCTGCATATATGTAAGTGTACCTATGTTGTGCAGTGCCCAAGGATGTCAGAAGAGGGCGTTGGATTCCCTGGAACTGGAGTTGCAGGTGGTTGTTAGCAGCCATGTGGGTGCTGGGAACTGGGGTCCTCTGCACATGCAGTCAGTGCTCTTAACCTCTGAGCTATCTCCTCAGCCCACCAATTAAGTACATTTCCCAGCATTCAGTGGAATATTTCCTATCTGATTTTCTTTCTTTCAATTTTTTTACATTTGTTTATTATTTTTGTTGGGAGCAGAGGTATCATGCTTGTGCCACTCAGTGTGTAGAGGTCAAAGCACAGTGGGAGCCATCCACATTCAGGGGATGGAACTCAGGTTGTCTGGCTGGGCAATAAGCACTTTTACCCACTGAGCCATCTCAAAAGTCCCGGTCAAATTTCATTGCTATAACAAAACATTTGAGAAACAATTAAAGGAGGATTTCTTTTGGTGCTGTCCATGTGCCAGGCAAGTCTTCCCCCTCCATAGTTAATCCTCTCTGAAAATACCTCAGCAATATACTTAGTAGCATGCTTTACTGATCTCCTAGGTACTTCTGAACCCAAGTTTGCAATCAAGATTAACCACAAATATCAAATATACATCATTTGCTATATTAGCACGTTTAAAAGTAAACATTTTTGGTTGTGAGCCTGAGCCTTTTAACAGCTGCACCAGCTCTCTAGCACTCAGGAGGCAGAGGCAGGTGGATCTCTATGAGTTCAAGGCCAGCCTGACCTCCATAGTGAATCCAGGCCAGCTGTGGACAGGGAGACCTTGTTTCAATAGATGATAGATAGATAGATAGATAGATAGATAGATAGATAGATAGATAGATAGATAGATAGATAGATAGATGATAGATTGAAGATAATAAATCATAAATGATACGGGAGGGAGAGGCAGGTGGATCTCTGTGAGTTCAAGGCAGGCCAGCCTGGTCTACATAGTTCCAGGACAGCTGGGGCTACAAGGGAGACCCTGTCTCAAAAAGACAAAAAATAATAATAATCAATAAATAAATATAAATAAATAAATAATAAACAAATAAATAAGTACACATGTATTTACATGCAAGCAATACACTCATACACATAAAATATAACATAAAAATCATAAATAAAATTTAATGTAAAATAAGAATTGACTAGAGACTTAGATTCAGTTTCAAGTTTTTTTTAAACAAGAACACAAGTGTTATATACTGCATATCAGGAGGATATAACGTATACCATTTTTAGTGGTGCCACAGTTGATCAGTGGGTTCAGATACCATTCTGGTCCTGCCATTATAAGCTTCCATCAACTGTCATCTAAAGTTTTAGAATGCCTAGAGTCCATCATTTCATTAGGAGTTGCAGAATTTTTGTTTTTCTAAAATCCTTTCTGAATTTATACTCTATAAAAGAATGTTTCTGAGCTGGGAGTATAGCTAGGTGGTAGAACACTTGCCTACCGTGGGCAAGGCCCTGAGTTCAACCCCTAGTATTGAAAAATGAAAATAAAAGGAAATTATTTTTTTCTCTTATCTTTTATTTGGTTACTCCGAAATATAATTTGTTCAGGAAAGGTAGGATATTTGATTCTTTTCCTTTAAAAAGTTTCGGAGAGTAATGCCAGGCATGGTGTTAACATGCCTTTAATCCCAGCCCTTGGAAGGCAGAGGCAGGTGGATCTCTGTGAGACTGAGGCCATCCTGGTCCACATTGTGACTTCCAGGTGGGCTAGGAATAGGGAGACCCTGTCAAAAAACAAACAACAACAACAGATTTGGAGAGTAATGACTTGAAAGCCTGATAATGACCAGTATTTTGGGTTTTTATTTTTTTAATTGGAAGAATTTATGAACTTTTAAATCTGTTAGATAAGTAGATATGTTTTGTTTAATATTCTGTCATTTGTTTTGATGCCTATATTATCACACTGCTGGTCTCAAGGAAGATGGGCAGTTCTATAGCCTTTTGACACATGCCGTTAGTTGTTGATAGTTCCCTGTGTTTCTAAGCCAAGAAGATGCCAGGGCTGGCAAGATGGCACTTGAGCATTTGTGTACACACACAATTAATTAATTAAAATTTAAAGATACCTCACCTGTATTTGGAATATTTTCTGTCTCAGAGCCGGAGTCAGTTATTTTACTACAAAGACCCTGGTTCCTTTTGCTGAAAAATGGTATTTTGAGGTCACAATTTGAACAATAAAGTGATCTATACTATTGAATTGACATTGGTTTTAAATTATCTTTCAGTGGCTATAGCCAGGGAATATATAATTCTAAGGAAAAATAATGGGTCCATTGTGATAGTCTCAGTTAAAATATTAGAGGATTTTTATTTCTATTTTAAATCTCTTTTCTGCTTAATATCTGGTTCCTAGCAACAATGACAAATTATTTACTTGATTAATAGCAGTATTCTTATTATATTATAATGCAAGTCCTGTCAGATCTGCAATTTTTATTAATGCCATTTTTATGTTCTTGTCAGATTAACATTGTGTTGAAATTAACACATTTACCTCCTCTGTCAAGTTATGTTCTTGATCTTTGTGAGTTTCCATTTAATTATGCATCTCAGAGATTTTATATGATGCAAGGAATTGTGATTGCAATGACAACTGTAACCAGGTATACACGAGGTGCAAGATTCCTTTGTTCAGATGAAGCATGCCCTTTTTCAAAAGGTAAGTGTTAAAATTTAAAATCAAAACATCAGTCTATTGTTTCATCCAAACCATATTTACAGCTAATAACTAATCCCTCTCAAAGTGGAATAAGTAATTTTTGGTATCTCCTAATGTTTATAAGTTTACATGGCACCATCTCCAAACATTTTCCCCCTCTACGCCACAGTTTAATAAGTACTCATGCTGCTGAAGTACTATTTTCATATGCATTTCATGCTCTGCTCTACAGTTTTCTGCATTTAAGGTACCTTTTTAGCGTAGCCTAATCTGCCCTCTTCCAAGATACCTTTTCCATGTATCCTCCATACTCACTGAGTCAGATGCCTGCAATGATGCCATATATTGAAATTATGTTTCTCACTGCCACATACAGAAATTGTGTGTTTAAGTGTCCATATTACCAGTGACTTAGTACACTGCCTGGCAAGAAACAGCCATTGTTGCCAGTACTTGTGAAGCTGAGGTAGGAGGATCAAGGGTTCAAAGCCAGCCAACCTGTATAAATAAATAAATAAATAAATAAATAAATAAATAAATAAATAAATCAAGGATGCACTAAACACCAACTTATCTACTATGAAGCCACATGTGAAATTGAATTAATTGTACTTTGAATTAGAATAATATTAAATGAATGAAAAGAGCCCAGTCTGAAAGCAACTTATCTCTGCTGTCTTTCAGGATTTCAGTATATAAGAGTGCATGTGCCTGGTGCTACAGAATCTGCAACAGTAAGGAATGATTTTTTGTGTAATCTATGTTCATCTTCACTTCAGGAAGACAGAAAATTTAGAGTACTTGGTGGTAAATTTTCAAAATAACCCCTCATATTTTAATAGGAAACTTAAATTGAATGTGTATGCTAGTAACTAATTTGTTTTGTTCTTTGCCCAAAGATAAACAGATAGTTGAAATAATTACCACAAAAGCACTTCACGTTTTTCAAGGATATTCTAAAAACCAGCCATTTCGATTTCAGACATTTAGTATTTTCCTAAGAGGTATGTAAAATTCTGTTTGAATTTATAACAAATTGTTGTAAAATATGAATTAACTTGCTTATGCTCATGTATTATAAGTGTATTTGTGTAGCTTAAGAATGGCAGGCCATTTTATTCTTGAGTTGCTAAGTCCCAGGATCATAGTCATTTCATTTCATGGTCCAGCATTATTCTATAGGTGTGTATTTTATAGTAATATTATAACATAAACAACGGGGTGTGGGAGGAGGGGGTGCTGACGTTGAGATGGGTGAGGGGGTCTGAATATGATCAAAATACATTGTATGAAATTCTTGAATCAATGATTTTAAAAAAGAATATAAACATCATGAAAGAAAAGATTTCATTTTTTTTTACTACACAGTAAATCTTTGTTAATTATGAGAACGAGCAGTCACAAATGATTATTTGTTGAAAACTATATGGGTAAACACCTGTGAATAGACAGAGTTTGCCATAAAAGAGGAAGTCACTGACAGGATTAGGCACTTGGGGCAGAAGTGAGTCTTCACTGAGAAGCCAGAACTTTTGGCTAAAATTGAGGAAATTAAAACTGTTCAAAGAGATCTTGGATGTAAACTGTGTATAGGAAACAAGAGTTGAAAAAACCAAGACTGAAACAAGAACTCTTTCCCCATTGTCTGACAAATGAGGCAGACATTTAAGCCTCCAAATAAGTAGTTTTTATGTAGCATTTACTATTTGTCAGGCATTCTTTCATATGATTAACTTATTAAGTTATGGTAACCCTGTAAGATAGGTTCTATTGTTATTATATAGTTGCTACAGTTATGTATCCTTGCAAGCTCATGTGTTTGAGCATTGATCATCAGCTGGTGGCACTTTTGGGGAGGTTGTAGATCCTTTAGGAGATGTACCCTTGCTGGAGGAAATGAATCACTGAAGGTAATCCTTGAAGTTTAAAACCTGGGCCTACTTCTTGCCCCATGTCTGCTTCCTATTCTCCTGAGATGTGAACAAGCAGCTCATGATCCTGCTGCCATGCTTTCTCTGTCATGATGGACTGTACCTTCAAACTGTTAGCCAAAAGAAATCTTTCCTATGTTGAGTTGCTTCTTAACAGGCATTTGGTCACAGCAATGAAAAAAGTAACAAATACAATTACACACACACACACACACACACACACACACACATCAAACGTTGCATATAGATACATAAATATTTATCTACATTGTATTTTAACAGAAAAACTTTTCTCCATATAAATTCTTCAATGAACCCAAATAGCTGATATGGTGGTGCATTCTTATAATCCCAGCTACTTGGGAATCAGAGGGAACAGGATGACAAATTTGAGGCCAGACCAGGGAACACAGCAAGACCCCATCTCAATATAAGGGTGGAAGGAAAGGAAAGTTGGAAGGGAAAGAAGAAAGAAGGGAGAAAGGAAAGAAAGAGAGCAGGCAAGCAAGAAGACAAGAACCCAAATAAAAATTAATGAATAAAAGCAAGTTTTTAAAGTTAATATCAAAAGACATATCTAGCTTTCCTAAGTTTTTTTTTAACTTTATTGGGCCTTTCTGTGACCTTGGGACACATTCACCAAACGCTAAGATCCATGAAACAGTTGAGACACAATTCACTTAGAGAGGTGGTTCTCTCTTTTTATTTTTCTCTTGTAACCTTGCATGCTTTTGTTTTTGTGTTTCATTGCTGTTTAGTTAGTTTGAAGCTTTTAGGTTTGTGTTCAGGTCTACAGAGTCAACCAATATAAATTGTTCCAGTGAGCTAAGGGATATGAAGGAGAGAAAGGAGATGGGAGACAGAGAAGAGAGATGGGGAGACAGAGAGAGAGAATATATGAATCACCAATCATATTCTTTGAAGTTTTTAGTCTAGGCCTATCTCTTCTATACAGAAATTAAATTAACTCTTGTTTCTTGTAAACCTTTTTGTGTAGCTTTAAAACCATCTAGCTGTGGGTGATCAATAGATTTAGTGTGCTTTGTGTATATGCTTGTTCGTGTGGGTGTATGCACATGTATGTTGAGGTACACATGTATGTAAATTGTGTGGAGGCCAGAGGTCAATGTCAGGTAGATTCCTTGGTCTCTCTTCACCTTGTTTTTGAGACAGGGTCTCTTGTTGAACCTGGAACTCATCCATTCAGCTACTCTGTGCGACCATCCACATGTCTCTGCTCCATACCCCACCCCAGCACTGAGGTTACAGATACACTCTGCAAAGCCCAGCTCTTTATATGAGTACTGGGGATTGGAACTCAGGCCCTCATGCCTGCAAGGCAGGCACTTTACCAATTAAGCTATTGCCTCAGTCCCTAATGTGTTTTTTAAAAATAAAATTTGAGGGCCAGTGAGATGACTCAATGGGTAAAGGCACCTACGACCAAGCCAGATGACCTGAGTTTGATCCCTGGAACAATCTGACCTCGACACATGCACTGTGGCATGTGCACGTACACAGACATGTACACACATACCTAAATAAATGTCATAAAGTTTAAAAATTAATAAGTGAACTCTTAACTCATGCAATAGCTTTGCCCAATCTGTATGTATGAAAAGAATGTAGCCTAGAATAAAAGGGTATATTTCAGAGACAAAGTGAACTAGACGTAAACTTTAGTTTTGCCATTTACTCATTAGTTTTGTACAAATTGTTTGCCCTTTTAGTTTTTCATGAATAAAGTGCAGATGAAAATATAACCAGTTAACAAAATGCAAGTATAGCATACAGATAAATATTAATATAGTCAGCAATAAAATGACCTTGGTTTCCATTATTGGCGCCATTGGATATGGATATTATACCAGACAAAGTAAATACTTCATTACTAATTCAACACTGCATTGTTACTAGTTCTGGGTCTCTAAACTATAGGGTGATGCACAATTTTCATTTAGTGAATACTGTTTTCTTCTGTATTTAAAAATTGTAGATGAACTAGTGAATAAAATGAAAATGGGAAGTGAATATAAAATTATTGGAATTCCAGCCTGTGTCAAAACTTCACAAACTGCTCTCTGTGTAGAAGCAAATAGTATCACTCTTTACAATCCAAAAGGTAAGGAAATCATATATTAACAAATTTTAATCTCTGATTAGTTCAGAGAATAAGTATCCTTTGTGCACTCTCCTAAGCAATAGAGATATAGTCAAATAAAATAATCAAGGTATCTACTCTTAAATCATATGGTACATGGTCAATAAAGTAGTAAGTCAGGTGTGTTGGTTTACATATGTAATCTCAGCACTCGGGAGGCTAAGGCAGGAGACTCCTAAGTTTCGGGCCACCTAGAATACTTAAATTCCTGTGGCCAGCTGGAGTTATATAGCAAGACCCTGCTTCAAAATAAAAATAACAAAACTAATCAATAAAATAGATTCTGATATATAGTGTTATTAAGGAAATAAAACAAGGTAATATACAACCCTGCTAGAATTCAGCACCCATTTCTTGAGCTAAATTTTATGGTGACTTTTATAGTTAGCAATGAGAAAACTGTTTCAGGAGCTGAGCATGGTAGTGCATACCTAACAGTCTTAGTGCTTAGGTGGCTGAGGCAGGATCATGAGTTCTTGGTCAACATAGTTTACATAGTAAGAAACAGACTGGCAAAGAAGAAAAGGAAAGAAAATCTTTGAAGATGCCAAGAGTTAGAGGTCAGTGAAAGAGCTTTCCTCCCCTACCTTTCATTTTTTTAACTAACTGTTGTGGGCTAAGAAAGAACTCAAAAAGTAGTGCCTTTTTCTGAAATAAAGAAGACAACAAATAAAGGTAGGTGGGGACTAAAATATCTCCTTCATTACTAACAAATTCCTTTGACAACTCAGCATTTTTAGAACTTACAGTATAATTTAGTATTATGAAAACTACAAAAATGGAGAGTAGTCCTACTTTTTTGCTTGGTTCACAAATGCCTAAATAGAAAAGGGTGGTTACATTTTGAATAGAGTGGAATTTTTTGGAATCCATAGGTAAGATTTGCAGTAATAGAATCCCAATTTAAATTTAAATGCAAGTGGATTCTAGATCTTTGGCCTGTCATGAAGAGACCTCTTCAAAACAAATAAGAAATCAAGCAACAATAGGTCATAGACAAGTTTGGTGATCTTTTTTTACATTTTCTTCTGTCAAGTGTTCTAGACTTATTTATTAGCAGAACACAAGTTCTATGTAGGTGGAAAGTGTATTTTCTTATTTTCAACTCTAGAATGTGGCAGCTTTAAGTACTCCCACGTGTAAGAGCTATATTATGATAGTCCTCCCTGTCCGTGGGCACGGAAGAAAGAGGAGAAAGATGCTCTGTGATGGCCCAAGGATAGATATCGGGTTATCCTTGCACACTTCTGCTCTCAAAATGACCAACTCACCAATCACTTATCCTTTCCAGGAATTGGAGAAAGGGAGGTGGTAGCGAAAATGTAGAATGTTACAGGATAGTTTGCTAAGTAGGAAAATATAAATCTTTTAAAGCACAGCATTACTTATACATTCCAATACTTTCTATTCTTCTTGCACAACTGAAGGTGGTCTCATTTCAACATAGGAAGATAGGAGCACATACAGCAGTTCAGAAGCCCCATCTCTGCTTTCCTCACACAAGACTTCAAAGCAGAATGAGTGGTTTGCCTTCAACTTACATCTAATTCCTGTAGATGCATGAGGAAAGTGATTGCTTTAATTACATTCCCTGAGACAGCAATGATAGACAAGTATGACCACAAATCATAATATAATATCATAAAATTTGACTATGGCACTTTTCAGTAACTATAATTTGATGTTTTAGACAAAGAGAATAAAAGATTTATAAATCTTTGCTTATTTTATTTCAGTTCCTTCAGGAATTAGTGACAACTTCAGGTGTCTCCTCTCTTTGACTTCCAACTCATGCTGGAAATTTACAGCAATACTTGCCAATATCTTTGCATCACAGATTGTTCCTCCTGGGACTTATAATTTGCTCAAGCTGTGTTTGTTGATGAGTCTAGTACAGACAGGAGACCGTAACAAGAAACTGGAAGACTGCTTGGATATTTTAATTGTAACAAGTGATACTTTACTTATAGACAGGTAAAATATGTGCTATGAATTTTTCAAATTACAAATTGCTCACAAATGGGCTGGAGAGATGGCTCAGTGGTTCAGAGCACTGTCTTCTACTCTTGCAGAGGCCCTGTGTTCAATTCCCAGCACCCACATGGCAGCTAACAATTGTCCCATAACTCCAGTTCCAGAGGATCCAATGCCCTCTTCTGGCTTCCGTGGGCATTGCACACATGTGCAGGCAAAAAACTCATAAAATAAAAATAACTGAAATCTATCTAAAAACAAAAACAAACTGCTCACAGATTTGTATAAATTCTTCCCACTATTATTATTAAAAATTGATATTTAGAATTCACATGAACACTCAAGTATTTAAATCAATTTTTAATAAAATTCAAAGCTTTTAAAACATGGATTGAGAACTAGGATATTTGATTTTTAAAATTTTGAGACTCTAACCTCAAAATTTCAACCTGTTTTTCTACTCAGAGACAAATATATCTTCCCTCAGCTTCATTTTCCCATATTCTCTAGATGAGTATTCTGCTTTCATACCTTGTTTTATTTTTAAAATAACCTTCCCTCTAAGATACAGAAGTCATTTCTTTTTTTTCCCATTCAATAATGTGGATTTACTGTCCTTGAATAAGGCTGTAAAAAACAAGATCAATTTACTTGGAGGTCAAGGGTCATCTTCCTAATATGTGCGATCCATGCCTACTTAGCATTCAGGGGTCCCCTCTAGCAAATACCTTTTAAAAAGAAGTTATTTAAATGTCACAAAGCTAGGAATAAGTTCTGTATATTAATATCGTACATGTAACAAATTTATAGAATTTAAATTTTTAAATTCAAATTAACATTAACATATTTGAACAGATGTTTTGCTAAAATTAAATCATCACTGGCAATGTCAATATGGTGTTAAATGCAACAGATTGCACCAATTTATTCTTCCACTAACAGAACATAAGAATATTTGCTTCCTCTCAGCCTCACCAACTTGAGTAGCATAAAGCTTTAAAGTTTGCCTTCTAATGGAGAGAAAAATGATTATTCTATTGAAGTAAAACTTGCATTTCTTTAATTGGAAATAGTAACCATAATTTAGGAATTATTAAGCACATTCTTATGTGAACCTTTTTTGATTACTGTTTATTTTTCTATTAAATTATTTATCTGTTTTCTTAATGATTTGTGATACCTATTGCAAATTAAGACTTGTTTCTTTTCCTGTTTTTCATCAACTTTTGGCTTTCTTTTTTTTAAAATTTCTGGCTATTCTTATAAAGGCATTTTGGGTTATATGAAAAATTTGTTTCTGTGGTTGGTTAGTTTTAGATGTTTTATATATAATGAAGTAGTCAGATATTATAATTATTAAAAACCATGGATTTTGACTAGTGTATATACTCTTATAACCATACCCATAATAAAATATTTCATCACTCTAAAAAATTATTTTATTTTCTCTTCCAGTTATTCTTATCCCCATGAAGGATTTCTGTTATCATAAATTAATTTTCCTGTTCTTGAACTTCATATAAATGGAAACTTACAGTGCATACTCTTTTGAATATAGTCTCTCTTATTCAACATGTTTCTGAGATGGATCCATTGCATGTATCAATAGTTCATTGCTTTTATTAATTAATATTCCACTATGTGACTATGCCACAATTTGTTTATTCTACTCCTAATGATGGAGATCTGGGTTTTGCATGTTTTATTATAAATTAACTGCTCTGACCATTTTAACTCTGGGTGTGTGCATGTGTGAGAGTATGTGTGTGTGTGTGTGTGTGTGTGTGTGTGTGCACTAGGGATCAGTTTCAGAGCCTGGCACATGCTAGGTAAACCCTTGTCTGAGCCATACTCCCACTTGAATCCCTGGTGTAAATATTCTTATGTAAGTCTTTTTGTGGGCTGTGTTTCTTTTTTTATTTTGAATAAGTACTTAGGACTAGAATTTCTGAATCATAAGACAGATGTCTATGTACTTTTATAACAAACTGCCAAATAGTTTTCCAAAGTGGTTGGGCCATTTTACATTCCTGCCAACAGTGTAAGGATTCTATGTCTTCCTTCTTACCAATAGTTGGTGTTGTCAGTCATTTTTATATGAGCTTTTCAGGTAAATGTGAAATGGCATCTCATGACTCCAACTTGCATTTCTCTAATGACCACTGATTTAAGCTGGTTTTCATGTTTATTGACCCCTTGTATGTCTTCTTTTCTGAAGTGTCTGTTCAATTCCTTCACTCGTTTTTTTAGTTAGGTTGTATTAGATGCATGTTCTTTGTCACAAAAATGTAGTATGAAATTCCCACTTCTTTGGGGTTGTTTTCTTGTTGTTTTGAGACAGTGTCTCCCTGTGGCCCAGCCACAATTTTGAGAGAAATTTCCAACTTTGAAGCTTGCTTTTTATGAGTTTCCTTAAAAGTGTCTGTAATGAAAAGCCAGGCATGGTGGTGCACACTTTTAATCCCAGTATTCAGGGAGTAGAGACAGGCAGAGCTCTGTGAGACTGAGGTCAGCCTGGTCTACATAGTGAGTTCCAAGCCAACTAGGGCTACAGGGAATACATGTCTCAGGAAACCAAAAGAAAGTATTTGTGATGAGCAAACTTTTTCACTTTGATAAAGTCCAATTTATTTTTTCTTTTATGTTTCATGTTTTCTGGGTTCAATTTAAGAAAATTTTGCAGTGGACTTGGTGGCAAGCACCTTTAATCCCAGCACTTGGGAGGCACAGGCAAGTGAATCTTTGTGAAGCTAACCTGGTCTACACAGTGAGTTCCAGTCCAGCCAGGGCTACCTAGTAGTAAGACCCAATTTCCAAAAGAAAATTTTTGCCTACCTTAAGGTCATGGAAAATTTGTAATGCTTTCTTTATAAAAGCATAATATTTTAGTATTTTTTAGACAAGGTCTTATTATGCAGCCCTGGCTGGCCTGGAACTCATTATATAGTCCAGGTTGGCCTAGAACTCACAGAGATATATTGACTTATGCCTCTGAATGCTGAAATTAAGATGTGCATACCCAACTGTATTTTAGCTATTTATTAGGTATTTTCTCTAAACCAAGTTAACTTTTTCGTTCGGTGTGTACATTTGCTTGATGTCGGGGTGGGGAAGGGTGCACATGCCACAGTATGGTTGTAGAGGTCAGAGGACAACTTTGTGAAGTTGGCTCTCTACTGCACCTTTACAAATGTTCCAGAGATTGAACTCTAGTTGCCAGGCTTGAGCATCAAAGTGCCTACCCCTGAGCCATCTTGCTGGCCCTTGAGTTAACTTGTGTATATGGTGTGGAGTACTGTAAAAGTTCATGTTTTTTTTCTATGTACTTTTTCAACATCATTGGTTGGTAAGACTTTCCTTTCCTCATTCCATGATTTTTAGTACCATGTTTGAAAATTAATTGAACTAGATAGAAACTGAGTACAAAATCAAACTGAATATAAATCTATTTGAACTTTATTTTCTGTTATTTTGGTTTGTCTGTGCTTATGCCAATACTCTACAGTCTTAATTACTGTATCTCTATGGTCAATGTTGAAATCAGGTGACACAACTTTATTCTTCTCTAGATTTTTTTGGTCTTTTTTTTTGAGACAGGGTCCCCCTGTAGCCCCAGCTGTCCTGGATTCACCATGGAGACCAGGCTGGCCTCAAACTCACAGAGATCCGCCTGCCTCTGCCTCCTGAGTGCTGGGATTAAAGGTGTGTGCCACCATGCCTGGCTCATTCTCTAGATTTTTAAAAATTATATTATATTCTTTGTATTTATAAAGTCTAGAAATAATATGCTAATATCATAAAAAGAGTCTTTAAAGATTTTGGTTGCTGAGCCAGGTGTGGTGGCACACACCTGTCCAGCACTTGGGAGGCAGAGGCAGGTGGATCTCTGTGAGTTCAAGGCCAGCCTGGTCTACATAGTGAGTTCCAGGATAGCTGGGGCTACAGGGAGACCCTGCTTCAAAAAGACAAAAAAAATTTTTGGTTGCTATTGTATTTAATTTATAAATCAGCTTTAGGGAGAATTTTCCTCTTAATAAATATTCCAATCCATGAATATGGTATAGCTCTCCATTTCTTTAGGGTTTTGCTTTATTTCAGCAATGTTTCATATAGTTTGTTAAAATAACTCAGTAGTTAAGAGCACTGGCTGCTCTTGCAGAGGTCCTGGGTTTAATTCCCAGCACCCACATGGCAGCCTACTACTATCCATAACCATATATATATATATATATATGCTCACATAGTTTGTAAGACTCTTAAATTGACTCTTAAATTATTTGATTTAAATTTTTTTAATTCCTTTATTTCTATTTTATGTGTATGAATGTTATGCCTGCATGTGTGTAAGGGTACTCATGTCATGCAGTGTCCACAAATGACAGAAGGGGGCATTGGATCCCCTGGAACTGAAGTTATGAACTGTTGTTAGCCATCATGTGGGTGCTGGGATTCGAACCTGGGTCTTCTGCAAGAACAGTCAGTGCTCTTACCTGCTAAGCCATCTCTCTAGCCCCCAAATTTTTTGATTTTTATGTTATTAAAATAGTTTTCTTAATTTCATTTGCATTCATTTCTTATGAATATGTAAAAATGAAACTATTCTTGCATTTTGAAGTATCCTGTAACCAGACATTAGTAGTTTTAAATTTTTCCTCAATTGATTAAAATGTGTAACCGAGCTGGGCGTGGTGGTGCATGCCTGTAGTCCCAGCACTTGGGAGGCAGAGGCAGGCGGATCTCTGTGAGTTCAAGGCCAGCCTGGTCTACATAGTGAGTTCCAGGACAGCTGGGGCTACAGGGAGACCCTGCTTCAAAAAGACAAAAAAAAAATGTGTAACCGAATTTAGGTCCTGTTGTTTCATCTCACTGAGTTGTTGCCTGGCTGCTTATTAGAATGGCGTTAGTTTTAAAATTTATCTACAGCTAAGCACCCTGGTGTATATTTATAGTTCAAGCTACTTGGTAGGCAAAGGCAGGAGGATCATTGAACTCAAACATTCAGAAACAGCCCAGGTAGCATAGTAAGACTTTGTTTTAAAATAATAATAATAATAATAATAATAATAATAATAATGATGATGATACCTATAAGCTGGAGCTGTGGTCCCTCCCGTGAGACAGAATTGTGGTTCCCTCGTGTGACCTGGAGTTGGTCCTCTCCTGTGAGCTGGTCCTGGGTATCCAGGCCCTGGTGTTGGACCTCTCCCATTATCAGGCACCAAGAGGTTTTCTGTTATTTTTCTGTTGATCTTCTACAGCCCCAGTATGCCTGTCACCTGTGCCCTAATTGTACTTCTAGAGATAATTGAACTTCTAGAGATAAAAATAACAGTCTGGGCTGGGAGTGGTGGTGCATGCCTTTAATCCCAGCACTTGGGAGGCAGAGGCAGGCGGATCTCTGTGAGTTCAAGGCCAGCCTGGTCTACATACTGAGTTCCAGGACAGCTGGGGCTATAGGGAGACCCTGTCTCAAAGAGACCAAAAAAAAGGGTCTGAGAAGTTTAAAAAAAATAGTACTGTAATAACTAAATTGATATAATTCTCAAACTAGAGATATGTAATTTGATCTTAGAATATAAATTCAAAATTCTGTGTCTACTATAATTTTTGAATTTTGTATACTGACAAAACTGTACTACCAAGCTTCAAAAATAATGTGAAATTTGTCACTGTTCCTATAATGTGACTTTGCCACTCACTCCCTTTCCAAATTCTCCATCTATAAAAAGTCAGTGTAATCATGTTACTTCTTAAAGATACCAATGCTAGTAAAATATTTTTTAATTTAAAAAAGGCATTGATAAAGCCAGGCATGGTGGCGCATGCCTTTAATCCCAGCACTTGGGAGGCAGAGGCAGGCAGATCTTTGTGAGTTCTAGGCCAACCTGGTCTACATAGTGAGTTCCAGGACAGCTGGGGCTACAGGGAGACCCTGTCTCAAAAAGGCCAAAAAAAAAAAGATAAAAATTAAAAAAAAAAATCTTATGACTGTGTACCACCTCTGAAAATTCTAATTTAAGTGGTTTGTGGGATGAGTAGAGATTGACATTGATTAAATAAATAAAAAACCCTCCCTACATGATTTTAATGTGGCTTGCAGCTGAGAACCACTGTTCTATAGGCTAGAAGAATTTCTTTCTAAATAGTATTCCTCTGTTTATATTCCTCCAAACTAATGTGGGGTTTTTTGTTGTGTGGTTTTGGTTTTGTTTGAAACAGTGTCTTACCATGTAGACCTGGCTGGTTGGAACTCACTGTGTAGACCAGGCTGACCTCCAACTCACAGGTATCCACTTGTCTCTGCACACAACCTACTCCCTACCCAGTGCTGTGATTAAAGGTATACACTACCATGCCTAGCCAAACTACTGTTTAAATTCCTTGAGATGATATACACGCGGGGTCTGTTTTCTAGTGTCTGCCTATCTACATCTAAGGGATGCTATCTCAGCTTCTTTTGCATTGCATGTCTATATCTGGTCATCACATGATTGCATCAAAGAGCCATCATTTCTGTAGCAAGGATTTAAGGATAGCTGTGTTAGCCAGACCTTTCATGCTATGGCAAGTACCCAAGAGAAACAATTTAAAAGAGGAAATATTTTTATGGCTAACAATTTCAGTTCATAATTTACTTGTTCCATTGCTATAGGCCTGTGGCGAGGCAGAATATCATGGCAATGCAACTGTAGTGGCAGAGGCAAACAGCTCATCTTATGGCAGACAGGAACCAGAGGGAAGGAGAGAAAAGAAGAGGCACAGTGTATCTTTTTAGGGCATGCCCCTAGTGGCCCATTTCCCTGAACTAGGCCCTACCTCCTAGTAATTTGGTCAAATTGTGAATCTGCTGATTAGGTAAGAACTCCTAGGATCCAAGCACTTCCCAAAAATCCATAAGTCAACCAACCTCCAACACAGGAGCTTTCGGGAGACAACTCAGATTCACCATAGCACTAAGCTAAAGTAAAATTCCTTTCTTATTATTTGAATTTGAGAATTAAACAGGTTGTGGCAATAAAGAAATGGATTAGAAACAAAAAAGGTTACATATGAAGAGTTGCTATCCTGGCTACACAAATAGCTCAGCTGTTAAGAGCACTTGCTGCTCTTGCAGAGGACCTGGGTTCAGTTCCTAGAACCCACAAGATGGCTAACAGGCATTACATGCATGTGGTACACTTATATACATACAGGCAAAACACTCAGACTAAAATAAAAATAAATACTTTTAATTACCATGTGCCATGGAGATAAAACTTGGGCAAAGACCAAGCCGGGCATGGTGGCTCATGCCTTTAATCCCAGCACTCAGGAGGCAGAGGCAGGCAGATCTCTGTGAGTTCAAGGCCATCCTGGTCTGCATAGTGAGTTCCAGGACAGCTGGGGCTACAGAGAGACCCTGTCTCAAAAAGACAAAAAAAAAAAAAAAAACTTGGACAAAATCCAAATGTTCTCAGAGAAACCTTGCCTAGACATATATTATATTCTTTGATCTAGTTAGTTGTATGTATAACTAAAAGTACCAGACTGGTGGAACTAACCTTCTTGGATGGTTAACAGCCGTACTTTGAGGCCTATACTAATTTGGTCAGAGGGACATAAAGGACAGTTTTTGCCCCTTGCCCTCCTAGGTCAACTAAGTTCCAGGGGACTATGAGCATCTCTCAAAATATCCTGTAACTGTGGTGAGTCACCTGTCCTCTTGATCAAGGAGACTGTGGAGACCCCATCAAATGGACTTGAATCAGTGTCCAGTCTATAAAGAGGAGGGTCAACACAGAGGAATCATTTCCTCCATGCTTCCAAGCGAAGCCAGCCATGGTCAAGTAGGACCTTTGACTTATCTTCACATAGACGGAAGTGGTAAAAGGAGCCAGGGGCTCCTCCCAAGCCCATGTAACTCCTGAGGAAAAGATCATCAAATGACCTTAAGAATGAAAATAAATTGGTTTATCTTGGTTAATTGTAGGGTCTTAAACACCCAGGAGGAAAGTATAACCAAAGATTAAAGGGGTCAATATAATTTTTCAAGAGTCCATATGTATAGCTAAAGGCTACATAACAAGAAACAATGCTAGACAGGAGATACCTTCCTTTGAGTTATTGGCCAGGGTGGCCCAAAAGACTCCCAGACAGTAACCCAGCATAGAACTGGGAAAATGAACAGCAGACCCCAATCTTATTTAAAGGAATATTGACAATTGATTGCTGCTAGATGAGGAGCAGCTGTTCTTCCTAAAACAAGGCTCTCTAGATAGGCTGACTAGATTCAGCAGATGGACAGGCACTGGGGCGCTGGGGGTGCTGACAACACAGTGGACAGTAACAAGGATGACAAGAGTATATGAGCTCCAGTGGGGGGGGGGGGCTTTGGGGGGGGGCCAATTGGGAAGGGGGTATATAGATGAATAAGATTGTTTGGGATGTTCTATATGATATACACACACAAAAAATCAACAAATAAAATGGCTTATATTTGAGGAGGGAACATAAAAGATTTATTTCATGTTAGTTAGTAGAGGTGATAAACATTACCATTGAAATCTACCCAATGACTTTATATCCATACTCAGGTGCCAAGAATCCAAGTGTAACTGACTGTGACTAGTAATAATCAGATACATAGAGATTAGAGACACATGTGCAAACATCTAAGCATTAGTAGCATTAAAAATGACTCTGTAGGAGACAGCATATTTTAAAATGAAATGGAGATCTTTTTTAAAGGTTAAAAACCCATTCAACTTTGGGCTGGAGAGTTGGCTCAGCGGTTAAGAACACTGACTGCTCTTGCAGAGGACCCAGGTCAATTCCCAGCACCCACATGCAGCTACGAACTATCCTTAACTCCAGTTCTAGGGGAATCTGAAGCCCTCTTCTGACCTCCGAGGCATTGCACAACACGGGTGCACTCATACATGCAGGCAATGCACTTGTACACATAAAATAAAAATAATAAAAAAAATTTAAAAAACCTCATTCAATTTTATGTCTTACAGGATTTATACTGAGTTCAATAATGTATAATTGTATTAATTCAGCTGTGAACCTAAAAATTTACAGCCACTTTTGAAAGACATGTATCCTTGCTCTGGAAATTGTTATTGAATATGTTAAAGCTGTAATAAAATGCTTCTTCTAATCATGTGGTTATTAAATAAAAAAAGTTTCACTAAAAAAAACAAATAATTTAAAAACAGAGTTGCCATGATACAAATAGGAAGTCAAGATAAGAGTAATGAAAAATTCTAAATATACCAAGGAAAGAAATCTATAAAAAGATAATAATCCATTTCAAAGGCTGCCTCTCTGTAACTTCTTCTGATTTCTTTCTAAGAAAAAATGATGCTTCCCTCTGGATATTCTGAAGACATTGTTTTTATTTTTATCCCATTTTATGTTATTTTTCTGTATCTCTCTAGGCTGTGAGTTGTCCAAGTAAAAGACCAAGCTTCATATATGTAATGTTTCATAGATATGAGATCAAATTAAATTTAAGCAGGTAGTTATTAACATGTAATGACTTCCAAAAATCAAATATTAAATAACAGGATCAAATAATTTATTTTTCCCTAGACTTTTGAATTTTAGCATGAATCTTATTTCCCGTGGTATACATCATCCAGTCTCTACTGAAGTTTTTCCTACTGTGTCCAGAAATAAGTATGGAACTGGAGCAGTTAGCATTCAAGCTGGCAGTGCTCTGCTAGCTAAAGGTGGCATCTGCTTTATAGGAGACCTGGCTTCACATAAAAAAGATAAACTTGAACAACTTCAATCAGGTAAACATTCTTTTCTCAAATTAATTTTCACCTGTTTAACTTAGTCTTATCAGTGCCAAGGAATTAACAGTTAAGATAATATTTCACATGTTTTAGGAGATAAAAGTTCTACCAAATGTCATTCCTCATTTTAGTTTTAGAAATAAAGCTAGGAATTTAATGTGAAAATGCACTGTTTTAACCTTTGCTCTGAGTTCTAATATATGACTTTATTTAGGGCCAGTTGTGCTTCCTCTTGTTTTTACTATTTTATTTATTGTTTTTATTTTTTATGTGTATGAGTGTATCTCCAACATATAGGTAAGTGCACCTGTGTTGTGCAATGCTTGCGGCAGACAGAAGTGGCTGTTGGATCCCCTGGAACTGAAGTTATGGGCAGTTGTTAGCTGCCATGTGGGTGCTGGGACTTGAACCCAGGTCTTCTGCAAGAACAGTCAGTGTTCTTAACCGCTGAACCATCTTTCCAGTCCCTGCTTCCTCTTGTTTTATTACATCATCTAAGACTTTAGCACAATGTGGAAAACTAGTGGAGAGGTGTCCCTCCCTGCTTTGTTCCTGGTCTTAGTAGAAAAACTTCAAGTTTCTCACCATTAGGAATGATGATAGCTGTATTTTTGTACAACTTTAAAAATCAAGCTGAAGAAACTCTTTTATTTTAGTTTGCCAAGATGTTTTATTATCAGTGTTGGATTTTATCAGATGCTTTTTCTTGTTTCTGTTAATGTGATTTGTGATTTTTTTCTCCTTGAACCTATTAATATGATAGCTTACTTTGAATACTTTTGAATGTTGGACCAGAATAATATATTTCATATAGACCCCACTTGATTTGGGGTATATAATTGTGTGAATTTTCTGGAAAGGTGTAAAAGACATGCCTGCCTCCAAATTGGGTGGTGCCAACTTACCAAAGCATGACTCAAACATTGATAAGTAAATGCATTTATTAGAAGTTACTTATAGAGCATTTGGTAATTTACAGGCTTTTATACTCACCAAACTTCTATTTTATAGAGCTCTGATTTAAGAAGTACCTAGCATAGAACATAAGCAAATCAGACCTAGAGAGGAACTATGTCTTCGAGAATACTTAGTCCTTGTCCTTATTAGAAATATTGAAGACTTCAGTAAACACTCAGATCATGGGAAGTTGACTTTGTTTTGCTGGAGACTGACACATACTATCAGTGTACAGAATGACTACATAGCAGCCTGCTACAAAATGGTGTTACTTTGACTAGTGTTAGTTTTCTTGTTGCTATGACTAAATACTTGACAAATGCATCTAATAATCTTGAGGAAGGAAGTGTTTATTTTGGATCACAGTTTAAGGGCTCAATCCATCATGTCCGGAAAGGGACAACGGCAGAAGCTCAAGGCAGCTCATCATACTGCACCATAGTCAGAAAGCAAAGAAAGACGAATGCCTGTGCTCAGCTTGCTTTCTATTGTCTCCCATTTATTTATGTATTTGTGTATGTGTATGTGTGTGTCTTTGTCTGTGTGTGTACAAGTGCATGTATGTGTCACTGCATGCATGTAGAAATCAGAGGACAATTTGCAGAAGTAGGTTCTCTCCTCTACCATGTGGGTTCTGGGCATTTAATTCAGATTATCAGACTTGGCAGCAATTGTCTTTACCTGCTGAGTCCCTTGCTTTCTCCTTTTTATTCAGCTCAGGACCCCTAGCCCATGAAATAGTACTACCCACATTTAGGGTGTATCTTCTCACCTCAGTTAGCCTCATCTAGAAAATCCCTCATAAAAATGCCCAGAGGTGTATCTCTTCAGTGATTCTAGATCTTGTCAAGTTGACAGTTTTAACCATCACACTAGATGGAGGACTATTTCCCTTCAATTAATCTTTTATGTATTGTTGAATTTGGTTTGCTGTTAATTTGTTGAGGACTTTTATATTTATGAGAGATACAGGTCTGTGGTTTTCTTTCATACAATGCCTGTATCTGGTTTGTTAGGATAATGCTGGTTGAGCCAGATTTATAACTAACTATATATGAACAGCTATGGATCGGGCAAAGAGCAGTTAGGGGCTTGCCTTCTTGGCATACCAACATAAATGTGCAAGAATGCTCAGGAAATAAGGTATATCAGTTTACTTTACAAAAGAGAAAGGAGTGTAGTAGCTAAGAAAAGAAAAAGTGTCAATATACATAGTTGGTATGGAATATATTCAGAATACAGAAATTATAGTTTCTTTAAGTCGGTAATCTAAAAAACAAGCAACCTTCAGGCTCAGTAGTAGAGTGCATGCTTAGCTTGTGTGAGTGCTGACCATCTTAGGCCCTCGGGGAATAAAATGAAAACCACAAGGAGATGCCAACTGGCATACGCAGATCATAGAATAAGTACCTTTTCCAGAAAAGCCTGGAAGTTGGTTTAAAAATTCTGCTGTCAACTTTAAATTTTTTATAACTTTAGGCCTGGAGATATAGCTTATTTGGTAGAGTGCTTGTCTACAAGCCCTGGATTTGATCCCCAGTACCACACACACAAAAAAATTTTTTAACTAAATTTTCCTTTGATGTTGTACTTTTCAAAAAAGTTCAGTGAGACAGAAGAGCATAAGCATGCATGGAGGAAAGACGCCCATGCATGTATCAACAGTACCCTGCCACCCTCTTCCTACAGCATTCACAGTCACCAGCCTGCCTCCATGATAAATTTGTTCTCACTTTGATTTCACTTACCTCTTATTCAGTGTTCATATTCTTTATCACATCTTCAACTGAGTTAGAGGCTATGCTGTCCCTTTGAATCAGATTTGCCTCCTATTTCTATGGATTTGCCTATTGTGGACATTTTATATAAATTAAATCCTTCCATATGTGCCCATCTGTGACTGACTTCTTTCATTTAGCAAAATGTTTTCAGCTTATTTCATCCGTGTTATAACATGTATCAATATTTCATTTTTATTGTTGTAAAATACATATTACTTAAGATAGAAAATTAGGAAAACGTAGAAAAATATCTATCAACACAATGGGATATTGTTCAGCAATAAAAAGAATTAAAATTCTATTAATAGGAAAGTTCATAAAGACAGAAATAGAACAGAGATTACCAGGGGTCAGGGTCGGGGAAGAACAGCATCTAATGAGTATAGTTTGTATTTGGAATGATGAAATAGTTCTGGAAATGGACAGTAGTGCTAGATACGTAACACTGGGAATGCACTTAATGCCACTGAATTTCACACTCAATGGCTCAAATGGTTAAGCTAGGCATGGTGGTTGACATCTATAATCTTAGCACTCAGGAGACTAAGATAAAAGGATCAAGAGTTTTAGGCCAGTCTGAGATAGGTAGTAAGTCTGTGGCCAAGCCTGAGCTACATAGAACAACCCTATCTTAAACACACAAAACACACATTCTTATGAAAATTACCATTTGAGCCATTTTTCTTTTTTTCCTAAATATTTTTCTTACCTTGTACATTTTTATGGCAAGTGCTTTAACTTTAGCAGTATCTTGCAAAGCAATCAAATTTAATTTTGTCTTCACTATCTGGTTTAGATAGTCAAATTTTTAATTGAATTTTTGTGTACTCATACATGACATCTTAATCATCTTTATACCCCCTTCCCCATTGGTACCCTTCTATATCCCCTACACTTGATTTAATGCATTGTCATTTATGTTAAAGGCCTATCAAGTCAGTTAGTGTCCCATGATGTCCCTCAGTGCAAGTTTATCCACTGGGGTCTAGTCAACTTATGTAGAGTCACTCCCTTAAAGAAGGTCAGCTCTTCCTCACCCGGTAGTAATCAGCTGCCCAATAGTTAAGATTGGGCCCTGCTGCCCATTTCCATAGTTCTATGCTGGGATTTTTAGACAGTCAACTTTTATATGACAATATTTGTTATTGATTTGAGGACATACAGAATACTTAGAACACAGAATACTAGAGTGACAAAAATTTACAAGATTGACAACAAAAAATGTTAAGGATGTGCAGCACTGAGTTCTTACATAATAAGTAGCTAATGCCTTCTGTCTTAGTGTTGGAGAGCAGAAGCATCACAGCGTACATCCCAGGAAAGAAGTTTGGGGAGGATATTGATCAGCAAATGACCTTTCCCATTCAGTGCAGTTTTTGGTCTTTTGTTGATATGGATTCATCTTCAAGGAGAAATGCACAGAAAACCAGCACTCTCATTGGTCAGATGGTAAGGTCTATAATTTTGTTGTTAGAATGCTGTTTGGGAAGCCAGATGTGGTGGCTCACATTTGTAATGTTAGAACTTGGGAGGTAGAGGCAGAAGGATGAGGAGTTGAAGGTCATCCTCAGCTACACAGTGAGTTTGAGGCCAGCCTGGGCTATATGAGACCATGTCTCAAAAAAACATTTAAGCCAGGTGTGGTGGCGCATGGCTTTAGTCCCAGTACTTGGGAGGCAGAGGCAGGCAGATCTCTGTGAGTTTGAGGCTAGCCTGGTTAATATAGCAAGTTCCAGGCCAGCCAGGGCTATAATAGTGAGACCTTGCCTCAGCAGCAGCAGCAGCAGCAGTAGCAACAAAACCCACAAAAAAAATGTTTCTCAGGGAACTTAGTCACAGATTTTGCTGTTTCTTCTCCCCTCTGTCCTCTTCTTTCTTTTAGTTCCTTCCCTTCCTCTTCCTTCTTACTTTTTAGGTAAGGTCTTACCATGTAGCCAAGGGTGAGATATAAGTCACTCTATAGCCAAGACTGGCCTCAAATTTGCAATCCTGCTGAGTACTGAGGGCTGGAGTACAGGCATACACTATCATTCCCAGCAATATGTCCTCTTAATGTTTAATGGTTTTGTTATTAACCCATTTCTATACTTTGCTAGACAGGACACCTAAATAAGGATCTAGTTATGTAAAATTTTTCATATTTTTGTTTTGTCTGAGCTACATCCCTACCCCTAAAATGTTTTATGATTTTTTAGTCATGCAAATCAGATGTTTGTTCACTAGAAATTTCTCTGAATAGCTGAGAAATCGTGTGTGTGTGTGTGTGTGTGTGTGTGTGTGAAGTCAAAGTCAACTCAGGTGTCTTCCTTGACTGCTGGCCATCTTAGTTTTTGAGATGGGTTCTCTCTCTAGAGCTCACTGATCTGGCTAGACTGGCTGACCTGCAAGCCCAGGATCTTCTGTCTCTGTCTCCTCAGAACTGAGATTACAGGCACCTGCTGTGGCATCAGCTATTTTACCAGGATTCTGAAGAATCAAACTCAGTTCTTCATGCTCACACACCAAGCACTTTACCAACGGCACCATCTCCCAAACTCTGAGAAGTCTTTAATCATTGATATATAATAAAATACTCAATAAGGGCTTTTTTAAGAAAGTTAATTTCCATAAGGTTCCAGGTTTTGCAGAAATTGCTTTAAATTGTAATTAGTAATAAAATAATCAGTAAATACTTTACATACATTGTATATAAAATGATCAATTTGTAGTGATCTATTTCCAAATAGTTAGCTAGCTTACTGTTTGCCCTACCTTTTGGTTTGATGTAGGATTGCAGTTCAATTCCAGTTAACCTTGTGGAGGCATTTGTGTTATTGGTTAACTGCAATGAATCATCTTGCCACCCGCTTCTTCCTACTGTGCAACATACTTTAAAGAAAGCCACGGATCCTGAAGGACTGCTTTATTTAGCTTCTAAACAGTTCACAACTGAAGATTTTGAAAAGGTAAAGATAGATAAAATGCTTACCTAGAATGCCTATATCATTGATTCTCTATTTAGTTTTAATTTTTTAAAATATTTATTTATTATTTTTATTTTATGTGTATGAGTGTATTGCCTGCATGTATGTGAGTGCACCCATGTCACGCAATGCCAGTGGAGGTCAGAAGAGGGCTTCAGATTTCCCCTGGAACAGGAGTTGAGGATGGTTCGCAGCCACCATGTGGGTACTGGGAATTGAATCTGAGTCCTCTGCAAAAGCAGTCAGTGCTCTTAACTGCTGAGCCATCTCGCCAGTCCCCAGTTTTAATATTTTTACATTTATTATTTACTTGTTTGTGTGTGCATGTGTTTTTCATGTGTGTGGGAGCAAGGATGCCTGTTCCAGTGTGCACATGAAGGTCAGAGGATAACTTGTGAAGTTCAGTTCTCTCCTTCCACCACTTGGAATCAGGCTTGGCAACAAGTGTCTTTATTCACTGAGCCATCTCACCAAGTCCCTGCTTTGTTTCCCAATTAGAAGTCTCTTTGGGTATTTTTTTTTCTCTTTTAGGATTTTGATTGTCTGGCTGGATTTTTTAGACAGGGTTTAATGTAACCCAGGATGGCCTGGCATTCACTCACTATGTAACTGAGGCTGGCCATGAACTTTTTAAAAATGTGAGTATAAGTGTTTTGTCTGCATGTATGTAAGTGCACCTGTGTCATGAAATGCCCACAGAGGCCAGAAGAGGGCATTGGGCCTCCTGGAACTGGAGTTACAGACAGTTGTTAACTACCGCGTCAGTGCTAAGAACTGAATTCTCAGGTCTTCTCCAAGAGCAGCCAGTGCTCTTAACTGCTGAGCCATTTCTCAAGTTCCCTGGACTTGAACTCTTGATGTTCCTGCCTCTGCCTCTCAAGTGCTAAGACTATAGGCATGTGCTATCATGCCCAGCTAGAATTCTTTCATACCAGTTTGCTTCCAAATTTTGAACAATTTAAGGACGTTTTATAGAAAAACTACTTAGGGGCTGGATAGATGGCTCAGCGGTTAAGAGCACTGACTGCTCTTGCAGAGGACCCAGGTTTGATTCCCAGCACCCACATGGTGACTACAAACGTCCTTAACTCCAGCTCCAGGGGAATCGACACCCTCTTCTGACCTCCTCGGCATTGCATGACACGGGTGCACTCACATACATGCAGGCAATACACTCATGCACATAAAATAAAAATAATAAATTTATAAAAAAAAACTACTTAGGATTATAATTAAACAACTGTGTAAGAAAACATTAAAATGTTAAGTTTATTACTTGTACTACTATCCATAGCTTTAAAGAGCTCAATTTGCCAAAACAGAATATTTCTATAGAAAATTATGATAGACCTTGTGAATATATATAGTTTTATGACTATTCAAGTGTTTTCCTTATGAATGCTTTCAGAGTTCTGATTTTCAGGAATATCTAGCATAACTTACTAACCTGATTTACTTTTCTAACATATTGAAAACATAAGGCATGTTCAGAAGACCAGAGAACAGATGATGTATTCAGAAATATGCACTGAATAAAGTATCTGAGTAGGTTAAGCACAGGGTGCGGGATATTTGGGAAATGGAAGTTTATACTATTAAAATTCTTTTGGGGGAGCTGGAGAGATGGCTCAGTGTTAAGAATAGTGGTTGTTCCTGCAGAACACCCGGGTTTGAATCCCAGCACCCACATGGCACCTAACAACTGTCTGTAACTCCAGTTCCAGGGGATCTGATCTGACAGCTTCTTCTGACCTCTGCGGGCATTGCATGATATGGGTGCACTTACTTACATGCAGGCAATACACGCATACACATAAAATAAAAATAATAAAATTAAAAAATTCTTTGGGGTGGGGCTGGAGAGATTGCTCAGGGATTAAGAGCACCAGCTGCTCTTACAAAGAACCTGGATTCAGTTCCCAGCACCCACATGGAAGCTAACAACTGTCCATAACTCCAGTTCCAGGGAATTTGACATCCTCCTCTGACCTCACAGGCACTGCATGACATAAATACACTTACATTCATGCAGTCAAAGCATTCATACACATAAAAATTAATAAATAAAAAAATTTTTTCTTCATATTGCCTACCTTGTTAACATGTTGCTTCAATAAAAAGGTTGAAGTAAGGCAGACTTTAAAATGCAGTGTTTCAGTTACATATATTAGGCTAGAAATAGCAGTATTTATGATACAAAAGTTGTTCTTTTGATGTGTAAGAAAGAGTAGTTAGCCTCTAAGGATTAGAGTACTAGACAAAGTACTAGACCCAGAAATTTTTGGCCAATCTTTTCCTGAAGATAATCATCTATGAATTTATTAGCTAGGTATTTACTAAACACTTCACATATATGAGCCTATTTCTGTTTATAGTCTTGCACAAATACAAAATGTCTCCTTTAAATAGCTTATCATTTGATAGGGATGGAAACAAGATACATGAAACAATTAAGGGTCAACTTTAAGTGCTTAGCTGAGTGGTGCTATCTGTAAGTATATTTGGAAATCAGAAACAAAGATATTAACACAGAGTGCACAAGTTTGGAAATTTTCAGGGAGGAGGTAGAGGTTTCCAGGTTAATGACTGTGCTGAAGAAATATTCTCTTGACAAAAATTATGATTCAGTGGGTAAAGGCACTTGCCATCAAGCCTGACCACCTGAGTTTGATGCCCAGAACTCTACACTCATGTCATGATGTAACATGCTGCCCACCTCCCCAAATAAATATATGTAAATTTTTAAAAAAGAATTACTCTTGGGGCCAGAGAGATGGACCAGTGGCAGAGCACCAGAGTTTGGACCCCACACCTCATGGCGGCTAACAACTGTCCATAACTCCAGTTCTGAGGTATCTGATGCCCTCTTCTGGCCTTCATGAGCATTGCACACATAGTTACATACATGCAGGCAAAACACTCATACACATAAAAATAAATTTAAAAATTAAAAAAGAATTATTCTCTACCCAGATCTTCCTGAATCATCAGATTCCATCTTCATAGCAGTTAACACAGTGCCTCCCTCATTGCACGTGTACAGTTAAGTGTTCTTTGAAAAGAAGGAAGGGAAGTAAGGAGAACATTATAAATAAATAAACAAAGGATTAAACTATCCAAAAATGAAATAGGCTTCTGGGGGAGGTCTTTCTCCCACTGGAAGTACAGCCAGTCATTCAAATTCATTGCATAGAACACTTCTGTACTGTGAGAGAGATTATTCTAGGTAAGCTTTAGTATCCTTTATAAAAGAAGGCTGTAACTTAAAGTGTTCAGTGACTTGGAACTGGCACCTGATATTTACTTAATTTTGATGTAAAAAATATTCAAACTTTAAAAAATAAGATACCAATACACTTTGGAGTTTTAATGATTCCATAATAAAATTTAAATCTCTTAAATTTTTTATACTTTTAATATAGCTACTGGCTTTTGCAAAGAATTTGAACATAGAATTCAGCTTGGAGGCAGAAAGAATGATTCATGGCTATTATCTAGCAAGTCGCAGAATCAGAACAGATTCTATATATGGATCCAAACTGTCAGCATCTGCATTAAAATGTTTGTAGGTATTCAACTCCTGATTTTAAAGCCCAAATTAACTTTTAGATATGTATTTAATTAACTTGTCTTTTTTCACTTGTTCCTCTGTTTGATTGCTGATTGGTTGGTTATTTACCTTGTTCCAAAAGAATTCAAGATGGCTTAATGATTTCTTTTATTATAATTTTATATCATTTGCACCTCTAATAGTTTTCTCTAAATTGTTTTTATTGAATCTCCTGTGTGAGATGGACCTGAGAAAAATGCAAATGTTTTAGAAGCCCTGCTAACTGCTATTTTTTGTCTGGAGAAAAAGACATTCTATACTTATATGCCTCAGTTTACACATAAATATATTGATCCAAAAATATGGCAGTTTTACTATAACTTTGCCTTTTCATATTATATAATACTGAGGGTGGAAATGGGTTTATGTTTTAGCACAGTAAAAGAACTTTCTCTACCTGAAAAGTGTCATGAGTCTTACATTTTTCTCCCCTTCTATAGACATGTACCTTATAGCACCATATTGCTTGTATGGAGAAGTAAAGCTTAACATTACATACTCTCCTTTTGAAAAGTGTATATATAGTCTGATCTGGTCAATATTTTCAGTAGTTTTAATGAGCACATTAGGGAAACAATAATCAAATGTCTTAAGGGATATTGGAGAGACCTTCATAGGTTTGAATTATGATCTTAATTTAGAAAGAAAAAAGTTAAGATAGATGTAAGGTCCTTAACTAGGTCCCCAATCTTCCTAATACAAGTGTAAATGTGTGAGAAGAGGGTGATGCCATTTAATCTGAAAAAGACTTGAGATTTCAATCTGTTCATAATTAGTATGAATAGACAATGAAATATGACTGTTACCATGTTGAATTGATGTTGTATGAATAGAATGTCTTACAAGCAAGAAAACAATAGTTCTACCTCACCTGCACTCTGATGATCAAATCATACACAGAGTACTGTTCTGTAAAGGATTAACCAAATCACGTCACAAGGAGAGTAGCCAAATAGTGAGGGGTTGAAAATTATGTTTCATGGTTAGTGTGTTACTTGTGCTGAAACCCTGGGCCTCATACCAGGCAAGCACTCCACCTCTGAGCCATACCACATTCCTCCTGACATTACAGGTACTAGGACTATTTAACTCAGAGAAAAGAAAACCCAGGGAACTATGGAAGTTCAGTGAGTATTTGAAGAGTTATCATTTTTTGCTCTGTAGTTCCAGCAGATAAGACAAGAGACCAGTGGGTAGAAACTACAGTGATACTAATTTCAGTTAAAGATTTATGTAAGCTTTGTAGGTTAGTTACAAAAATTTGATCTTACTTGGTACCTCCATTTTATAGTTGATGCACTCACCAAAAGAGCCCTTAAAAGTCAAATAATTTATGCCAGAATCACACAATTAGTAAATTCTGCAGATTAAGCTTTAATTTTCTTAATCTCAAATCCAGCAGTCATTCAAATACCTCACATCTGCCTAATGAAAGCTGGGGATGTTTCAGGTAATCAAAGCAGTTTACATTTTAGAAAATTAAGAAGTTAACCCAGGAAACAGTGGGTGTTGGAAAAATTCACAGGAGACTAGGCACTAAGTAGCTCTGGCTTGTGTGACAGGAGCTTGAACTTTGAACTCTAAGGTTCTGTGAGGACTTCAGATAAATGAAAAACTGGGTGAAGGCATTGAGGGTGTGTCCATAAGAGATATTTATAGGGTTGTTTTCCCTAATTGTGTATTTATCTGAGTAGAATTTGGGGGAGGGGATGTGGAACTCAAACTGAAGCCAAGTGTTTGATAAGCTATAACACTTGCTTCTTCTGGCAAAATTTAAGTTGGTGGGAAAGAGATACCTTAAAAAGAAATTTAAAAGCACACACACACAAAACTTGCTGATCTGTAATGTGTGGCTCATGCTATGTCTTGGCTGTTTCTGTTAACATATGTATTATTTTTTTGTAATAACATTTTTATTAGCATCAGTTTTCTTTTTTAGAGTTTCTTTATCTGAAGCTCACTCTCGACTGAACTTAAGGAATAAAGTGCTCAAAGAAGATGTACTAATTGCAGTCTTATTATTTGAAACATCTCTTACACTGAAATATGGTAATCCAGTTATTAATGATATTTAAACTTAATATTCTTAGTTTCATCGATTACATGCATTGTAAATATTTCAAAAAATAATAAACCTCTATTAGTCACAACTTACTTGAATTTGAACATTACTGATTGTTTATAAGCAATACCAGCTGTTGCTGTTTGTGGAGAGTCTCACCTTGTAGCCCAGGCTGGCTTTGAACTCAAGAGTCATACTAGTTCTGCCCCCCAAATGCTAGAATTACTTGTGCAGTCATGCTGGATAGTTGCATCATCTCACAATAAGCTCATTGTGCATGATTGTTGTTTTATTTTTGTCACGCCAAGCCTTACAATATAGCCCAGGTTCATCTTAGACTTGCTATCTTCAAGCTACAGCCTCCCTGGTGCAGAGATTAAAGGCCTGTGCTACCCTGTTACAGAATCCTCAGGGAAGGGCAGGAAAGCTGGCTCTTGAGTTAAGAGCACCTGCTGCTCTTTTGGGGGTTTAGGAACCCAGTTTGGTTCCCAACACCCACATGGCTGCTCAAGTCCCTATAACTCTAGCTCCAGAGGATCCTCTTGTAGCCACAGTGGGCACTCACACACATGTAGCATACACATCAAAAGAAAAGAAAAAGGTTGTTTGATTTAGACAAGTGTAGAACAAGGTTTAAAGTTCTAAAAGATCTTGGTAACATGTTAATAAAATATAAAGGTAGCTTGAGCACTAAATTGCTTTAAAGCAAATTTGAGCACTGAAGCCCTAGGAACTTATAAATCACTAAGTTACCTCCTTTCCAAGGGAGATAGATTGTAAATTTTATGTAGATTTTAGGGATTAATGACTGCCAGAAAAGATTATCATCCTCAATTAGTTTAAATTGCCATAAGATAAAAACATTGGTTCAAATCAATAATAAGTGAGACATTTTTATTTTCAAAAACATTTCATTTATTTTTATTTTATGAGTGTATTGGCTGCATACACCCATGTCATGCAATGTCCAAGGAGGTCAGGAGTTGGATCCCCTGGAACTGGAGTTACAGATGGCTGTTAGCCACCATGTGGGTGCTGGGAATTGAACCCAGGTTCTCTGCAAGAGCAGTTAGTGCTCTTAACCGCTATCTCCCACCCTTTTTCTTATTTTTACTTCTCTTATATTGAAGACCACATTTTGTCAAATCTAACACATTTTTTATACCATAAAGATGTGTGCCAGGGCTGGGTATGGTGGCACATGCCTTTAATCCTGGCACTCGGAAGGCAGAGGCAGGTGGAGCTCTGTGAGTTCAAGGCCAGCCTGGTCTACACAGTGAGCTCCAGGACAGCTGGGGCTACAGGGAGACCCTGTCTCAAAAAGACAAAAATAAATAAATAAATAAATAAATAAATAAATAAATAAATAAATAAATAATAAATAAAAAGTTTCAGTAATAAGATAAAACTGTATGTCTTTAACTGCTCTTCAAAGGACCCGAGTTCAGTTCCCAGCACCCATGCAGCCATCTATCACTCCAGTTCCATGAGCTCTCCTGGCCTCCACAAGCACTGCATTGGACATAGGATCACAGACATACATGCAGGCAAAACACTCATACACACAAAACAAAAAAATAAAAATTTTATAACTTTAAAAGTAGTTATATAATATTAAGGACTCATGGTAAAATATGACAGTATTATCTATCACTTGAATGTTATCAAAACTTCATCGAAACATTTAAGAAAGTATTTAAGAGAACTAAAAAGAATGTTTTCTTCTTTAATTACTTCTGTTTGCATAATTTCAGTTAGGTGTTCCTGATTCTCAACTCTTAAGTAAAACAATGTTACCTTATTGCTTAAAGTTGAGTTTTGTTATGTTTTCATATACGTCATTATACTTTGTTCTTACTGTTCCTTATTAACCTGCCCCCCCATTCGTACCCCCATCCTATTGTTGGTCCCCTTCCCCCCTAAATAATATAAATAGTAAATAAATGCAACAAAGGAGACACAGAAAGGAGAAAAACAAAGGACAAAGGATTAGTGAAAGGGAAAGGAGGGAGAGTGCAGAAGAATGTGATGGAAGGAAAAGAGCAGATTAGAAAATGGGAGACTTCCCACTACAGGTCAGTGTAAAAGGAGACAAATGTGAGATGGAGAGCAAAAACAAAAATTGAGTTTTATTCAAAAATAAGAACAATTAAAATCTTACTAAAATATGGAGAAAAGGAGAGACATGGCACAAAAGTAAAAACTAAAAATTTAAAGGAAAATATGATTACCAAACAATGGAAAAATACATAAAACCAAATTAGATAAATGTATGAAAAGGAAATTTGAAAAATTTGTCTTTGTCTGAGACAAGGTCTTCCTGTAGCCCCAGCTGACCTGGAACTGTAGATCAGGCTGTAGATCAGGCTGACCTCAATCTCAGAGATCCACCTGCCTCTGTCTCCCAAGTGCTGGGATTAAAGGTGTGCATCACCACACCCAGCTCGAATAAAAAACATTTTAAATATGATAAAGCAGAAATATCGCTTAAAGTGTAAAATGAAAAAGGACAAAAAATTAAAAGTTTAGAAAGGGAGTATTATATTTTTGAAATATAATTGTCTTTAGTGAATCTGAAGAATATGTTGGAGATGGGTTGAAAAAGACAAGTTAGGAAATTGTAGTCCAGCCAGTAGATAAATGGGAGCTCTTTGACTGGGTGGAGAGTAGACAAAGAAATTAGTGAGTCAGAGATACACCTTAGATGCAAAATCCAATAGGATTTAATTAGAACTCAGGTACAAGAGTGGAGGAACAAAAAATTAAGGGAAATGCCCACGTCCCCACCTAGATGGGTGAATGTTGTTTACCAAGACTAGGAAGAAAAAGTTTGGAAAAATCAAATTCTAGATGTGTTTATGACAGAAATTCCAATAGATAAAAGAATCTTAGGCTGGAGACATAACAGGTAAAGGCAAAAGCTATCAAGCCGACAACCTGTGTCTAGGACCCACTGGGTGGGATAGTACCTATTCCAAGTCATCCTCTGAGATCCAAAAACACAGAGGGGGGGGAGAGAGGAGAGGAGGGGGGGAGAGGGAGAGGGGGAGAGAGAGAGAGAGAGAGAGAGAGAGAGAGAGAGAGAGAGAGAGAGGAGAGAAAGTGGGGGAGGGAGGAAAAGACAGAGTGATTGATTGATTGATTGATACTTAAAATTATGATCAGCCGGGCATTGTGGTGCATGCCTTTAATCCTAGCACTCAGGAGGCAGAGGAGGCAGATCTCTGTGTTGGAGGCCAGCCTGGTCTACATAGTGAGTTCCAGGTCAGCTGAGGCTACAGAGACCCTATCTCAAAAAAGACCAAAAAAAAAAAAATATATATATATATATATATGGTCATAAAGATGGTATTCAAAGTCAGGTAGATGAAATCACCTAGAGTGGAGAATTCCAGCCCCTGTCCAGTATTTAGAAATGTAGCTGTAGAAGAGAAATTAGTAAAGCAATTCATGAAGCAAAAGATAAAATGTAGAAAGAAAAGCATGGTTATTACAGAAGCCAAGAAAGGGTTTTCAGAGCTGGTGATCAACTTAGTCACTTGCTATGAGTTTAAAGATTAAGTTTTGTGACCTAGAACTTGTCTTGTTTATGATCAGAGCTGTCAATAGGGTTGGACAGGTGTGGTCAGGGAGAAAACCCATAGACATAGATGTTGATGATTAAAGAAATGGGGTATTAAGCTGGAGAAGGATGTGTAATCCGAGGAGGGATCTTAGTACTAAATTTTTAAGAGGCAGCACTGAGTGTAATGGCATGGACCTGCCATCTGAGGAGGCTGGGCAACACACAAGACGCAGTCTCAAAAAAGTGGGAGGAATCAAAGTAAATCCTTATACTCTATCCAATATTTCAGAACTTAATTTTTAAACGTTCACTTTTGTTCACATGTGATTTCTCATCTAGTGTTTTGTGGAGTGTCACTTACACTGTGTTTTATTCATTTAGGGGCCACTGTATTTTGCGTTGCTCCCAATGCACTTTTTCCGTTTCAACAGTATAATGAAGAGTATTTAGAGCAAAGAGATCTGTTCCTGACTCAGTGCCAACAGCAGCTCCAACAGTTTATTGCCACATGTAGACCTGGGACACCCGTCTTCTCTGGTGATGCAACTTAAGGAAAAATTTCATTTCTCTTTAAATATTGGTTAAGTTTGAGTGATTTTGGATAATGCTTCAGAAGTGTACTGTCTAAACATATATAATGTACATTACACCACTAGTATGAGATATGGTCCCCTCTAATACGCAAATACATCTAAAACCAGTAGAATCTTAACTTAGAACAATGTGCATTTAAAGTGATTAAGTTACCAAGATTTTCTCATGAGGAAAATACAGCTTATGTTCATCCCACCTGTCTCAAAGTGACTTTACTTACAGATACACCACTGACTCTTCTATTTACCAAGTTGGTGAGTTCATACCATTACAATTTATATGACCCAGGTTCAATTGCAGTCTTCTCCATCTTAATAGACATGTACATGTAGAAGCTTTGTAATTTTTAAAAAATATTTTTGTGTATTACCTGCCATGTGAGTGCACCCATGTCATGCAATATGGTGGAGGTCAGAAGAGGGCTTTGGATTCCCTGGAACTGGAGTTAAGGATGGTTCGCAGCCACCATGTGGTGCTGGGAATTGAACCTGGGTCCTCTGCAAGAGCAGTCAGTGCTCTTAACTGCTGAGCCATCTCTCCAGTCCCAGCTTTGTAAATTTTATACCCACACCATCATGTACTGCCAAATTAAGTGTTCCAGAAGGCAAAGGAAACATTTCTATCTTTAGATATGGGTTGGGGAGCTTCACTGTTGCCCAAGCTTGCTCTGGGCCTATGTTGTCCTCGGGCCTCAAGCCTCCCACCTCCCAACTACCTGGTACCACAAAGGCCATGTCACAGCACCTGACTTCCACTATTTTTAGGTATTGGCAGGTAAATCATTTACAGCTGTATTTTCTAATTAAGACCTTGGTTTTCTGCCATTTAATATAATGTGGAATCCTGATGTTTACAGTGAAGGCAACTATTTTAGCCAAACTATCCACTCCATTTAATTTTACAACTGGAACACAAAACTTTGAGCTGGAGAACAAACTCAGGGCCCTGTGCATTCTAGATAAGCACTGTCCTAGTTTTATAAGAGTTTTAAAGTATTGCCTCTGAAGTTATTAGGACACCGCTGTATTTAATTTATGCTGTTTGACTGAACCTAGGAACACAAGAGGTCAAACAGCTAATTAAAAGTCTCCACTCGAGTAGAAATTCAGTTTTAGAACTGCTAATTCTTTGCTGTTATACTGGGATTACCTTCGTTTATAATATAAATCTGTAGTTCACTGAAAGGTTGAAAACTATTGTAAAAGGCTTTTTTATTGCTACTTAGATCCCAAAAATTAGGGCTAGAATATCCCCTAAAGCTAGAAAAAACGGGGTAACTAGTAATGAATGCATCTTCAGTTACATACGTGAATGAGAATCTCTGTCCCCAAAGGACTTACAAGAACTGCACCCTTACAGTAGCTTGAAACCAGGACTGCCTACTGGCCATGAGAATAGAGCTTGAAAGAGAAGTTAGCCCACAGAAATTAGAATTAGCCATGGATTTTTCTACAAAATTTATTTGTTAATATCAAATGAAACACTCATTTTCATCATTTGCGTCTGTTCATTCTTTCTTGACCAATTCTTCGTATTACCGTCAAAAATGTGTGCTGCACCTTTAAAAAAAAAAAAAAGCAGTGATTACCATTTTACCCAAGTCTTAAACTAAATTTTAAGTAGCCCCAGTATTCATCTAAATGTCCCTTAAAAGAAAGTCAAGTAAGCCAGGCGTGTTAGCTCACGCCTTTGATCCCAACACTAGGGTGGCAGAGGCAGGCAATCTCTGTTCAGAGTTCAAGGCCAGCCTGATCTACATAGTGAGTTCCAGGACAGCTGGGGCTACAGGGAGACCCTGTCTCAAAAAGACCAAAAAAAAAAAAAAAAAAAAAGCCAAGTAAAGGAAACACAAACTAGACAGCAAAGGCAGCTTCAAAGAACTGGCCTGCAAAGACTTACCTGAGAAATGTGCTCTTAAACTTCAGCCATTGAAGCCGGACAATTCACCCGCAGCTACCTACATGCAGAAAAGAATTCACTCATTTCAATAAAGAACTTCATTACACTTCAGTAATTTACTTAATTGATAAGAGTACTGGCACCTCAGTCTTAAGATTACTTCTTCAAAGAAGTCCTCAGCTGGGTAAACGGCAAAAATTTAGGTCATCATTGTGCCAGCTATGAAGCCAGTGTCCCAAATGTCACATTTTGGCTACTTTATTATAAAGCACCACAAGAAAAAAAGCAGATGCAACATTTAGTACCTTGTTTCATGTAACTGAGGTCCTATGCACCCTTTTCAATCACCTTCTATGACATGTTTTTGGAAAACATCTTTTCACCCATCTTCAAAACAGACTAGCTTTGTTGTACCTATAAAATAAAAAGATTTGATTGTGAACGCATTTGTACTTCTATGTTTTAGCACCTTATGTGTGGAAACAGTTTGAGAATTACAACCTTATCAAGTTCCCAAAACTGTCTTTAGTCAAGGGCAGAAAAATGGTTAAGCACTCTATCAGATCCTTCACTGTAACAATATTAAGACATGGTTTGTGCTGGGCATGGAGGCCCTCCTGCATTTGATCCCAGCACTGGGGAGGTAGGGTTATGTGGATCTGGGACTTGACATAGCAGGTTCCAAGGTAGCTGGGGCTATAGGGAGACCTGTCTTTTTGAGATACGGTCCACTGAGTACCAAGTCATTCCTTTTCAGCCTCAGGGTTTGCCAGGGAGCAACTAAAAGCTTGATGAAGTTAGATGCATAAACACCATATGCAAATCTTCACTTGAACACTACAATAGTAAATCTATAATTGTTTTAGACCAAAGACACCTTATATTGGCCCGCTAATTCAAAGGCACTAAGTACCTAAGCATTGCAAAGGGCATGCCCAGTCAATCATATCCCAAGAGAATCAATCACTGAACCAGACTCTTGGAGATGATTTATGAAGACATGTGAAACTGGACCCTGAGAAACAATTTATCACTTTCATGCCTTGAACTGCTTTTGTTAATAGTAATACTGCGTGTAACACTTGATAAACAAGTGTTTATCATGCTTCAGAATTTTCAATCACTACTTCTTTTAATAAAATTTAAAAAATAATGTTTGCCGGGGGTGATGGTGCACGCTTTTATTTCCAGAACTTGAGAAGTAGAGGCAGCGGTATCTTTGTGAGATCAAGACCAGCTTGGTCTACAAAGCGGAGTTCCAAGACAGGTGGTGCTAAGGGAAATCCTGACTGAAAAAGACCAAAAGAACCCTTTTAAACAGGATCACGTTTTTCCAGTCTCGCAGCCATATAGCTTCTTTTATATACAATTTCTACATAAATGCTCACATATGTTTACAGAAGGCATCACAACTTATGGGTTCCCTACACTCGTAGGAACCGTGTTCCAACTTGAAAGCCTCTTCTTTTAGACTATTTACAAGGGCAATCAGGAGCTTAAGCCCAGGAGTTCCGCCAATACTTAAGACCAGCAGCGCTCGGGAAACTGAATTTATTTCTTAACAGTTAAGAAATAATCTCCCCCTCTATAACATGATCCCCTACAGCAAAATAAGCCATCCACTTCGAGAACCTGAGACCAAGGCTGCGCCGTGGCTTTACTTGGGGGCACAATGGGGTCGTCGCCGCGGCCGTTCGTCCCGGGGCCTCGATTCTCCCGGGCCTCAGCTGGCCTTTCTATTAGGTGGGGCTGAAGAGCCCGTTTGCCAGGGGGTGGGCTCAGAAGCTTGGAGGAGGTCACGCACAAGCCCGAGCGGGGACGTGCGGGACCACGAGGCGCCTCCCTCCCTGCCCGTACCCGAAGGGACCTGAGCCGCCGGCAAGGAACCTCGCTGGCATCTCCCGGACGGCGGCCAGCTCCCGGGACTCCTACCTGGAAGAGATCGGCAACAGGCCGGGCCTGCCCCGCGCGGAACCTCTGCTCCCGCCACGCCGCCCGCCATGCAAGCTGCAAGCTGCCCGCCACGCCGGACGAACGTCTCACAACCCCGGCAGCGCGGAAAGGAAGCGCTCCGCCCGCAGCTGCCTGAAGACGCTTCGACAGGCCCCACCTCTTCCGGTCCCATCTCTTCCGACAGAGGCAAGCAATCCTGTTTCTTCTGAGGCTGACGAGCGGTTTCCGGACTTCAGAGCTCCCCAGAAGTTTGCAAGGCTGCACTTTGTGAGCTATAGCTGTCTGAATTTGCAAGTGATGAAGCTAAGGATTTGTAACCATGCTTTAAACAGGAGTCTCCCATTCCTAGCACTTAGGTTTGCTTGCTCTTCTACGCACACAGCTCAGTGTTTAAAAAAGCGATAGTGTGGGGCTGGAGTGATGACTCAGTGGTTAAGAGCACCGGCTGCTCTGGCAGAGGACCAGGTTCAATTCCCAGCTCCTACATGATGGTTAACAGCCGGCTGTAACTCGTTTCAGGGGATCCGACACCCTCTTCTGACCTCTGGGGGCAATGCACAACATGGGTGCACTTGCGTGCATACAGGCAATAAACCCATACATATAAAATGAAATAAAAACCGTACCATTAGCAATTCCATTTAAAGTGTTCTGGAATCAGCCCTCACACATAGAAACATAACTTATTAGGAAAAGAAGTCGCTATTTTGATTGATAATTGTAATAGATCTTTTTAAGTATCCATAAAGCAGTCACTTACCTTGTTTATGATATTATAATTTGCTAATCTTTAAAAAAATATTTTAGGGGCTGGAGAGATGGCTCAGGGTGTTAGGGTCCGTGACTCGATGGGTCCCCTCCAGGTAACAAATACACGGGATTGGAGATATAAAAATCAAGCAGAGTCTTTACTTTCCAGCTAGCTGGGGTCTACGGGCTTCCCAAGACATGCAAGTCTGGTCAGAACGATCACCCCCATTCAGTTTCAGGTACAGATTATATAGGCCCACATAGTCATTACTCAAAAAGCATTCCTCAGCAGACACTTTG